AGAAAAAAATCTGATGTTTATGTAAGTTCTGACTGTAAAATTAATAAAATAATTAGAAATGAAAAAAGAGTTTACTTCTACCTACTCTTTTTCGAATTGTGTATATATATAAATAAATTAATATTAGCTTTCTTTGTGAAATTAATAATGAATACATTTAAACAAAAGACTACTTCAATAACTACAACAACATCGCACAACCTTACAATGTATACAACCTCCTAAATATAAGTTCTCGTTTCAATCTCCTTTTAATGATTGTTTCACTGCAAAACTATGTACTGTAATTTCATCAAAGTTCAGCTCAAAAGTCAGAAAAGTGGCAATAAAAGAGCCGTGTAAGACCAATTATGGCTCAGGTAGTGTTGCCATTTGCTCAAACAAACATACTCACTCACTCACCAAGCAAACACAGAAATATAAATATACAACTCTATAAAGTGCTGCTCCACATCTGAGAATCATTTTTCCCCCAATTGTCCATTGTAACTTCACTGTCTGCTCCTGATTTAGAAAGAAACTCTAAATTAGTGCAAAATATTGTGAAACCAAGAACTGACGTAAGAACAACAAAAAGACAGTGGTATCTGAAGCTCCTTTACTTTGCACTTTACTCATTTATCAATAATAGTGAAACTCATTATAGAGTTTTAGAATTACTCATTAATGGGGCATTACTCAGAAACCATCAGGCCTCTACTCCACTTCTTCCCAGATGTCTGATCCTCCCAACATAAAAGTGCTGCCTTACTTCTAAAACTGGACAATGGCGACTGTCTTAAACATAGAAAAAGTAATCTGAGAGCATGAATGTTTATGGTGACTCTTGGTGACAGATTAGGAGATCCTTTATTTGTACCACTGTGGGGAAATTTCAGTGTTGCATCACCGTTAATAAGAACAGATGGAAAGAAGAGCACAAGATAAATGACCAAATAACTCTATACTAAAATCAAATCAAATCTCTAGCTTTAGCACAAAAAAGAAGCAAGTCTAAAATCTCTAGCTTTATATATAGCATCTTGTATATACGTATATAGTGCAAGAAATATACAGTTGTATGTACAGTATACATCTGTACGTGTTGAGGGTAAAGTTTTTATTCTTAAAAAAGAAAAAAAAAACATCCTCTACATGTATAAGGGAGATATACAGTATGTCTTTGTTAACCTGTACTGTCCCCAGCAGCAAATCGATTCAGTATGTTTTGGAATAGTTTTGATCCCATTGTCTGATGCTTTGGGATTTAGCGGGCTCAAGGAAATTTCATGGGTGTCTAACTGAAAACTCAACACTTCTGAAGTTACAGCCAGAAACCCACGAGACAACCCTACAATATAAACTTGACATGTAGAAACTAAAACATGTGGATTTTTACTAATTCACCAAAAGCTTTCATCCATGAAACTGATATACTGATTAATAGAATTAATATAAATATATGAATGCAACAAAGAGTCTCTACCTCACTGTGTTTGTCAGAGAAGCCAATCAGAGCTAGCTTAAACAGGCTCCATGGGCTTGAAGTTGGAACCATAGTAACGATCCAGAACCAAATATCCAATCAGATGTGGTGCTAATAAGTTGATTTGCTGGCTAACCAAAACCCAATTCAAAGACAGAAGGCATCCGATTGTTCAGTTGTTAAGGGTCATATCTTAATTTACGATTATGTCAAAATAAAAGAAAACACCCGGATCATCCATCCATTTTCCTCTGCTTCCAATCCAATCCACTTTATTTATATAGCACATTTCATAAACACGCAGTTTGCAAAGTGCTGTACAACATGCAAAATGGCAAAAAATAAATAAATACACACATTTAAATAAAAAAATAAAAATAAATAAAATAAAAAACACAGAGGACCACACGACTCACGCGGTGTTAAAAGCCAGAGAAAAAAAGTGGGTCTTAAGACGAGACTTAAAAAATTCCAACGAGGGAGCTGTTTTGACTTGGGGGGGCAGAGCGTTCCCGAGCTTTTGTCCAGCCACAGAGAAGGCCCAGAGAAGAGCTGGAGCTGGCCCGGACATCCGGACCCCAAAGCATTCCCAGGCCAGAGAGTGACAGTCCCTCCATCATGTCCTGGGTCTTCCCGGGGTCTCCTCCCGGTGGGACGTGCCCAGAACACCTCCCCAATCGTCCATTATAACTTCACTGTCTGCTCTTGATTCAGAAACATTTAGAAAGAAAACTTTGACCAAAATATTGTGAAACCAATATTTTGCACTAATAATAATAACACATTTTATTTATATTGCACCTTACATTTCTCAGGGAACATCAAAGTGCTATAGATTAAAATACAATAGCTAAGGAGAGTTTAAACACACATTTTTAAGCCAGAAATTGTGACACAAATATTTACAGAGTCAAAGTTAAATTGTCTTTGTAAGTGAATGGGAAACACATCTGATACAAAGAGGCTCTGTGTTTTAGAATGATGTGTAGCATGTGTGTGGAGATATAGAGGGTAGAGATCAAGTTACTGCCATGACATTTCTAACTTATGTTTACGTTCTTAATGGCTACTTGGACTGAGCATGATCTGCTGCAGATTGTGTGCAGTGATAAAACATAGATGTATGGATGATACAGCACTATTTTAGCAGCTAAGTTCAGTAGATTCTGTGGTTTTAAAATAATGTATAACATGTAAAGCAGTTGAGTGGGAACAGAAGTTAATCCATTAATCACAACTAATCCATTAATGAATTCTCATTTAGAACAAATATTAATAGTTTTTTGTAACTCACATTGACTGTATTCATACAATAATGACTGCAGAATGAAATAAAAATGTGTTTACAAGGATTATTAATTGAAAGAATAATCTGCCAACTAATTGATGATCAAGGTCATTGTTATCTACAGCTCGAGGGAGGAGTCACTTCCAATAATCTAAAACTTCAGTAAAATTCAATCAGAAAAAAACTGGGCCCAAATTGAAACTATACTAAATATATCAATACAGTATGTTTGCATTTTTGGTCATTTAGTCTTTAGAGCAGTGCTTCCAATATCCATATGTGGTCCGGGGTCTGGGGTCTGGTGGGCACATAGGTACTGCAGGGTACCTTAACTGCCTTGTCCCAGGTAAACTGATTGAAAAGCTCATGTCTCTCGGTTTAAGTGTTGCCATGTGTAAATGGATTTTTAGCTTTTTAACTGACAGATCTCAGAGAGTGAAAATCAATGACTGTTTTTCTGATGTTGTTTCTGTGAACACTGGTTCTCCTCAGGGATGTATTTTGAGTCCTCTGCTCTTCACTTTGTACACTCACGATTGTGTGTCCTCCTCTGACTCAAACTTGATCATTAAATATGCTGATGACACCACTATCATCGGTCTCATCAGTGACACTGATGAATCCTCTTATAGAGCAGAGATACAAAATGTGGTTCAGTGGAGTAAAACTGACAACCTCCAGTTGAACGCATCGAAAACATGTGAACTGGTCTACAACTTCAGTCGCAATAGTTCTCATTTGCCTGTCGTAATCGACAACTCCCAGGTGCAGATCGTAGAGGAGTGCAAGTTTCTGGGTTTAACTCTGTCTAACGACCTGAAATGGGTTAAAAACACTGACCGAGTCGTTAAGAAAGCTCGTCAGCGTCTCTACTTTCTGCGTAAACTTAGAGAATTTACCACTAACTCTAAGATTCTGCTTAACTTTTATTGCTGCACCATTGAGAGTTTACTTGTTGGTTCTGTGTCTGTGTGGTTTGGAAACATCGCAGATAAAGAAAAGAGATCTTTAAACAAGGTGCTCCGCTCTGCAAAGAGGACCGTGGGCTGTGAGCTTCTTGTTCTGGAGGTTCTTTATAAATCCAGACTTTTAAACAAAGCTCTTAGGATTGTTAATGACTCTTCTGGCCACCCTGGGAAAGCCATATTCCAGCTTCTTCCCTCTGGCAGAAGATATCGCTCTCTAAGATGCAGGACATCTCGTTACGCTAACAGTTTTTATCCACAAGCTGTTATCAGTCTGAACAGAGCACTTTAATGATTTGCACTTGTCAAACAAGTGCACTGTTTTAGTCGATCGATTTCACAGTGACATTTGTTTACTGTTTTATTTGTTTTATTTTTGTCTTTTAATGTTGTTTTATGTCTGTATTTGTCTGTGCACACTGGTGACTTTTGCTAATGTATTCCAATGTGGTTTTTTTACTGCAAATGGCAAATAAACTGAATCTGAATCTGAAACTGAATCTGATCTTACAACTTTAATCATGAATGTTTTGGTCAATTCGTAAAAGCAAAGCCCCATGGAATCTTCCAGGCAATTTTGGGGACATTCTAGAGGACTTCAGAATAGGAACAGGTGCTTTAGTTCAGGGGTTACACAACTTTTGAGGCCAGGACCCGACAAGAAAACCAACATGACACCAACCAACAATTTAATATGGTAAAAAGCTTTTAAACATGCTACATTTATTTAAGATAAGAGATCCTTTATTCGTCCCAAAGTGGGGAAATTTCCATGCTATTTATTTGAGTAATGTATTGTGTAATCACTAAAAAATAATGTTTGTATAAAAAATATAGTATGTATAAAATGTAGAACTTGTAAAATATATATTCTGGAATTCATCTCTGGACCCCACTTTGAGAATCACTGCTTTTGAGAATAAGAAAAAGAATCCAACCCAAAACTCATCGCTCTCCCACCTCTCACTCACTCCTAAGCCCCCTCTCACGCCCTCGCCTCTCTGTTTTCTGGCAGAAGAATCCAAATAAATGTGGGCTAACAGTTTTTGGGGGGCTAGAACAACCCACTTGGTCTAATGAGGTGATGCAGTCCTGTTCTCTTGCTCTCTGACTTTCCTTGTGTAGTGTGTGTGTCTTGGGCAATTGCACTGTGTCCTGTCTGACATCCTGTCCCTTTTTTCAGCTTTGCCCTCCTTCTTTTAAAAGGCCTGGGTAAGCAGTGATAGGCTTGCAGGGGATAAAACCTGCAGCTTGAGAGCACAGAGGGACATTTGGGAGAGAGATGGCGAGAGGGGCGGCAGTCACATACCTTCTCGGAGTGCTGCTCCTGGCGCAGTGCAAGCCCTCGTTGGAAGGAGGTGAGTCATCTCTGGTGCATGCATGGCTCCACTTCACCTGTGCGTGCAGGTGGCTTTACTGGTTTCCATTCACTGGCAGGTGGACATTTTTGATTATTAGGTTTTAGTATTATTGTTTTGTTGTTGAGAACTTTATTGGTGATCTAAGGCACAATGGGAAGCAAAGCCAGTCCTCAAGTCACTCTTTGCATCCCTATATGAATTCATCTTTTAATTTAATGGAAATAGATGTTTCAATATACACCCATTGACTACCAAGGTTTAGTTTGTTAATCTTTATTAAAGGGACAGTGCACAGGGACATTAAGCTCATTGAGACAGATATGTTCTGCACCTGATTATAGCTAGATGATAGTTTCCATCTGCAGTCCATGGTCACAAAGACATGAATTACAATATACAATATGAAAGCACCTATCCGTTCTTTATCAACCACACAATTTACCATTCACTACGTTTCATTCATTCTACATCAGTTACATTTACATTTCCTAGGGCTAACTATATTTACTGTATTAACTGTATTAAAACACATCAGTCAGAGCGGACAGGTTTGGCCATTCAACGGCCACTTTTCCACAGGTTTGACTCACAATTTCTAAGGTCAGAGAAGGTTGGGAATGTTCCAGATAGAGTTTGAAATGTACCTTTAGTACAGTGATCTATATTTCTCTCGTTAAAAGAGAGACACATGGTCTTAGTTGTTAAAAAGATGCAACATTATTAAGGAGCTTTCACTTTGTTCACTGACCTGCTGCATTTGTGTTGACCCAAGCAGTTCCAGCTGTCTAATAAAATACGATCAAATGTTGATGGTTTTCATGAGCAATGGTTAATTAAGGTTCTCAGAAACTTTATTGGATCATTTAGATGAAGAACATCCAGGATGCTCCATTAAAGGCGTGATGTACAAGGGACAATATAACCAAGTTTGGACACACTATGAAATAAATGTAAATGGTTCATTGAGCTTCTTTCCATTTACTAAGAAAAATGGAAAGAAGCTGACCTCTGACAAAGGCGGAAGTCTACCACCAAAACCAGTCAGGTCATAAAGCAGTACTAGCTTCTTTACATTTTTGCCTTATTAAAAGAACCTTCTAAGCACACTGTGAAATGTCATCAAAGTTCAAATTATATATGAAAGAGTATTAGAATATTTAAACATGAATTTTCTGTTGATTATAAGGAGAGCAGAGATAACGACTCAAGCTTAAACTTAAATAAATGCATTCAAAATATTAACTTTGTGTCAGTATAAGGTGGAAAAACAAACAAATGCATTACTCTCTTACACTCCATTTTTGATTTGATGAATGAATGGATTGTGCAAACCAGGAGAATGAATGTGTTAAGTGTTTTGTTACACTATAATAAATGAGCTGTGATTATGTCTGAGTGTGGAGAGTGATCAAATTGCTCAGTTATTTACTGTGTTGCTGCGCTGACGTCAGGGTTACTACAACACCAATACCTCGCATTTTTCATGGAATCCCCACAGACTTTCTCTCACATCTGGACCTTTGCAGATGATTGGAAATGTTTCCTTATATAGTTGTGTTTCTATTTATGTCTGTGATGATTTGTGAAACAACGCTTTAGGTGGGAACAGTGATAAATGATCACAATGAGGCCTTTTGGATGTAATGCTGTTTTGAATGGACAACCCCACACTCTGACAACAGATGTGTCCGACCAATATTTTACTTAAAACAACCAATAAAATTCATACAAACATCATTCTGAGCAAAATTCAAATTAAATTGGTCCATATTTTCAAAGATTGGTGGGAACATATCGGTCAATCCAACCAATATTTAATCAAGTGTACTGTATGTCATTTATGTCAACATAAATGTACTTTGGTTGTGCTATATGTAATGTAATGTTTTGTACATCTTTTTGAATAAGTCAGCATTTAAAAATGAATAGACATTGACCAATGACCACTCTCCATTGGCTTAATTAAACAGGAATTTACATACCAGCCAGTGGAGCAGGAGGAGCTGGTCGTGGCACTGGTGTCAGTCCTGGAGGGGCGGGGACAGGCTATGGACCAGGAGGAGCTGGTGCTGGCCTTGGGGGTCTTGGTCCTGTAACTGGAGGTAAAATATTTGTCTCTTAATTACCTTTTTTTTTTTTTAATTACATTTACATATTATATATAGTACTACTTTTGAACCTATTGAAACCAATACTTCCTGTGTGTGACTTGTTGGTTCAGGAGGTGTTAGCCCAGGTGGTGGTGCTGGTGGTAGAGGTTCTACACCAGGATCATATGGACCAGGCGCTGGAGCTGGTAAGTGGACAGTGATGTTTTGTTTGTGTTTTGAGGTGAACGATTGTACTATGGACCTATCAGGACAATTATCATATTCATGTGCTCATATTCTGCGACAGGAGGAGTGGGACCTGGTGGAGTGGGGCCTGGTGGAGTGGGGCCTGGGGGAGTAGGGCCTGGTGGAGTGGGGCCTGGTGGAGTAGGGCCTGGTGGAGTGGGGCCTGGGGGAGTAGGGCCTGGTGGAGTGGGGCCTGGGGGAGTAGGGCCTGGTGGAGTAGGGCCTGGTGGAGTGGGGCCTGGTGGTGCAGGTAAGGGTAGATAAATACTGATTTCCTCAAAAAGAAACATTATTCATAGTGTAATTCAATTAATATTCATCAAAAAAGCTTCAGTCTTTGACATTATGTCAAAGAATTTAACATAATGTTCATCCTCATGCATTATTTTGGGTTGAATGTATGATTTTAGAACAAGGATCACTTTGCTTTTACAATCTGAGAAAAACAATAAATTAACTGTATGCACATGTTTGGTACCCCTGCTCTAAGAATATAGCATTTTAGTTGCAGTGAACGTATAGACCACACACACCCCCCTGAACAAACACACCCTGCATTGATAACAGCTCATGTAGTAGGAATGGCAGCTCTGCGATAAAGGATGGAAATCATCACATCCTTCACTATAACGAATTTGCAAAGGAATTTCACTCCACTTTGTTTTTCATCCTGAGCACATGTGATAGCATTGAAACCATGCATGGGGCTAAGTTCTGGATTTGTGGAACTGTTCCACTTCTTCTAGTCCTTTTGTTAAGAAATTCACTCACACATAAAGTACATTAAATGTCATTATTAAAAGTAATGAGTTCATCGTTATTTGATTGCACAGCTGAGTCTCAGATGTAAAACTGTACTTTTAACAGCAACGGTCACCTTTAATGATTTTAGAAACTATCATTCAATTTGGTATGTTGTACAGAATCAGTGTACTCTTCTATAATTCGTAAATGTGTTGATGTGACCAGTCGGATCATTGGTAAAAGAACAAAGGGTACATAGCTGGAAGGGCTGCTATTTTTGTTTTTCCAAGATATGCATTGATACAGCGGTATCCAGAAGTTACATAAATATTCCAAAAAGGCATAATGATAATGATTTAAACTAGACAAAAGATTAAGCATTGTTATTATAACCAAATTATTTCTATTTGCCGAATGCCACAATATTGGGAGGCCATTCTTCACAACTGTTTCTGCATGTATTTAATTTTTGTTGGTGAAAAAATGTTGGTGTATATCTATTGGATTGAGATCTAAGCTTTGCGGTAGATGACCACTCCAAAACATAGATTTTTTTGTCTTTAAGCCACTTTCTTTGGCTTCGGCTTTTTGTCAATTTGCTCAAAGACCCATTTACTCTCAGACTTAAACTTCTTGAGATGTTGCCTGAACCACAATCTCCGGCCAAACAGTTAGACTTGGGTTGATCAGATCACAGGATATGTCTTTGTGTATTTGCAAATTGTGATCTATTACCTTCATTTTTGTTCAGGACATGTATGTACAAAACTAATTTTACAGTGGATAATGAATGATGACATATTCTTACCAGCTTCAGAAAAACATCCTCTCAACATCTTCAACAGTGCCATTGAGCAAATAGAAATATTGGTCATGTTAGTTTAAGTGGTGCCACTGCCGTACTCCATACACTACAAAAAGATGGATCATATAGCACCATATGGATGAGAAACTGCATCTGTCTTTCAGGAGGATTTGGCGCAGGACAATTCCCTGGTGGTGTCAACCCTTTTAAAACAGGTGGAGTTACAGAAATGACATGTTTTTAAAGATCACTTTAACACTTGTTAACGTCAACTGAGGTTTGTGTCTCTAGGACGAGGTGTTGGACCAGGTGGAACTGGTTACGGACCAGGCGGAGCAGGATTTGGACCTGGGGGAACCGGTTATGGACCAGGCGGAGCAGGAGTTGGACCAGGTGGAACCGGTTATGGACCAGGCGGAGCAGGAGTCGGACCAGGTGGAACCGGTTATGGACCAGGCGGAGCAGGAGTCGGACCAGGTGGAACCGGTTATGGACCAGGCGGAGCAGGAGTCGGACCAGGTGGAACCGGTTATGGGCCAGGTGGGGCAGGAGTTGGACCTGGTGGAACTGGTTATGGACCAGGTGGGACAGGAGTTGGGCCAGGTGGAGCAGGAGTTGGACCTGGTGGAGCAGGAGTTGGACCTGGTGGCGCAGGAGTTGGACCTGGTGGCGCAGGAGTTGGACCTGGTGGAGCAGGGGTTGGACCTGGAGGAGCGGGCTTTGGACCAGGTGGAGCAGGCGTTGGACCTGGAGGAGCGGGCTTTGGACCAGGTGGAGCAGGCGTTGGACCTGGTGGAGCAGGCGTTGGACCTGGTGGAGCAGGCATTGGACCTGGAGGAGGTGATGTATATTCAATCATTTTATGTTGACGTTTAAGAAAAATAGCTGATACACTTTTGGGATTTTGGAGAGGCCCAGGATCCTGGAAAACTGACCCACTCCTCAGCAGGAGGAAGCAGTACTTCTTATAATAAAAAGTGTACTTAGTAATTTGTCCTCTGCAATATCATTGGGGCAATCTGCCAAGACCCATCTCAAGATGTTACAACAATCCCACAGTCACATCCTCCATTTTGGAGGCAGTGTACTGTATACTGGCATCTTCCGGGCTGAAGTCACTGGGGTTGTTGGTTAATTGGAGGAGATGACAATCCTGAATCCTGAGTATCTTTCAATGTCTTTTCTACAACATTGTTTGTCAGTCGGGTATAAGACGGCTGACCGAGGAGTGGTCCCAGTCTTCAAGAAGAGGGACCAGAGAGTCTTCCGATTACTGTGGAATCAGACGGAAGTTTTTTGGGGGCATTTTCTCAGGTCAGGGAAAAATTGAGTGTAAGATAGTCTGGCCAATCCAATGCACATCTGTGGTGATATAGTTGCTCTATCAGACTGTTGTAGTAACTATAGAACAGATTCACAGGGTAAAGCTCTCAATGTACCTGTCAATCTGTGTTACCAGTCTATGGTCATAAGCTTTGAATATTGACAGACCTTGCTGAGATGGCTCAGATAACTTTTTTGTTTGTCATGCCTCCTGGGCTCTCTAGCTCACTGGGCAATCCTGGGAAGATCCAGGACATGCTGGAAAGTCTACAGGATGGATGGAGCTCGAGGAAGTTCTCTTGGTTGACTGGGCCAACCAAGAGAACTTCCTAGAGCTCATCGATTATACAAATATTAGTTAGTTTTGGAATCTAGCAGTTTCAAGCCTTCTGTGAATCATTTTTTAAGCGTACCAATTAACAAAAAAAAGTACAACTTTTATAATTCTAGCAATACCACAGACTGGCACCTCAGCAGTGGGATCTGTGGGGAAAACTGGACCTAAGACTTCAAAGCAAGTACCAGGTAAATTCTCCACAAATCATGTGCCCAAAAATCATGTTGTCAGTTGAATGTTTACATTATAATTTATTGTGGCCCAGGGGTGGGAGTGCCAGGACTTTACCAAGGTGGTTACGTCCCAGGTCAAGGTTAGTTTTTGTTTTCATATAATAGTTGAATAACCTTTGCCATTGTATAAATCTATATGAAACGACTGACAGTGCATTATCTTTGTGGACAAAGGTTTTGGAGGTCGCGGTGTTTTACCTGGAGTCGTCACTGGATCTCAAAGTGGTCTGTACAAAAGCAGAAAGCATGAAACCAATAATACAATTTAACTGCAAATTATCCATGGTTCCAATAATTATTTATACATGAATATCTCAATTGCTTACATTACCAGGCACTGGAGTACTTGGCCAAGGGGGAGTTGGACCAGGCACTGGAAGTAAGTAGAATATAAACATTTATGTCCATTGTTTTTTTCCTTATCATATGAATCATACTTCATAAATGAATAAATATTCCCTATACACTAGATGGTCGGGGTCAACCGCTCCCTGGAGTTTTCCGTGGCTACCCACTAATTTCCCCTAAAACAGGTACAACATACAGCATAGCGATAATCTCTACAATTATGTACTGTATGCGCTGCTAAGTTAGCTAGTTGCCATTAAGGTAAATACTGAATATTTGGTTTATAGGTGCAGGCAAATCAAAGAAGGCAGGCAAAGCAGGAAAACAATATGGTATGATTTTAAGTAACATACAATTCTCAAAGCTACCAAAGAAGTTCCCCCAAAAACATCTCAAATTTTCTCACAAGGTGGGGTTGGAGGACCAGGTGGATCAGGCGCCTATGGTCAGGGCGGTGCACTGGGTGGAGCAGGACAAGGAGCAGGAACCGAGGGTAAGTAAGTCTTTTGATGTGATAAGGTAATTGCTTCCCAAAGTGGAAGGGGGGGTGTCTACTCAAAAAGCATTTGAGAATTAGAAATAAATCAAAAAATGTATGGTTAACATTCATTTGAGACACATAATGAATATTAATGTTATTTATATATGATTTTAGTTCATATACAAGACAAACAAAAAACACCAACAATTTGGTTCAGACCCGAGGGTTGCTTCTGTACTGAAGACTTAAGGAACGGTTGGGTTATATGATATACAAACAAATGTTTCACAAATGTTTTAAACTTTGTAGGTCAGGCGGGTGGAGCTGGTACTGGCATTAGACCGGGTGGGGGAGTTGGACCTGGTACAGGGTTTGAACCTGGTGGAGTTGGACCTGGAGGTGCGGGTACCGGCTATGGACCAGGTGGAGGAGTTGGACCTGGAGCTGCAGGTGCCGGCTATGGACCAGGTGGAGGAGTTGTATCAGGTGGAGCTGGTACCGGGTTTGGACCTAGTGGAGTGGGACCTGGAGGTGCGGGTACTGGCTATGGACCAGGTGGAGCTGGTACCAGGTTGGGACCAGGTGGAGTGGTACCTGGTGGTGCGGGTACCGGCTATGGAGCAGGTGGAGCTGGTACCAGCTATGGACCCGGTGGAGGAATTGGACCAGGTGGAGCTGGTACCGGTTTGGGACCAGGTGGAGGGTCAAGATCCCAAGGTAATTATCAGGACAACACGTAGTAACTAATGTGCCATTGAAAATGTTGTCTTATTGTTGAATGTATTGGTTTTTCAGGATATGATGCCAATGCTAAAGCCCGCAAATACGGTAATGAATATGTTGTTTCATAAATGTGAAAAATGTAATACTGAAGGTACCTATTTCAATAGGTATGTTGAGTGGTAATCTGGGAGTAGGAGGCACAGGAGTCCGTCCTGGTGGAACGGGTACTGGCTTTGGACCAGGTGGAGGGGCTGGACCAGGTGGAGCTGGTGCCGGATTTGGCCCTGGTGGAGTTGGACCTGGAGGAGGAGGTACTGGCTATGGACCTGGTGGAGTTGGACCCGGAGGTGCAGGTACCGGCTATGGACCTGGTGGAGTTGGACCCGGAGGTGCAGGTACCGGCTATGGACCTGGTGGAGTTGGACCCGGAGGTGCAGGTACCGGCTATGGACCTGGTGGAGTTGGACCCGGAGGTGCAGGTACCGGCTATGGACCTGGTGGAGTTGGAGCCGGAGGTGCGGGTACCGGCTATGGACCTGGTGCAGGAGTGGGTCCTGGAGGTGCAGGTACCAGCTACGGACCTGGTGGAGTTGGACCTGGAGGAGTTGGACCTGGTGGAGTTGGGCCTGGAGGAGCGGGTACCGGCTATGGACCTGGTGGAGGAGCTGGACCTGGAGGAGCGGGTACCGGCTATGGACCTGGAGGAGGAGTTGGACCAGGTGGAGCTGGTACTGGTCTGGGACCAGGTGGAGCTGGCACCGGTTTGGGACCAGGTGGAGGGACAAGATCACAAGGTAATTATCAGGGACAACATACTATAATATGCAATACAAAATGTTGTCTTATTGTCGAATTTTTTATTCATTTTTCAGGATATGATGCCAATGCTAAAGCCCGTAAATACGGTACTGAAAATGTTGTTTAAGGAATATTCAAGAAATGTTATACTGAAGGTACCTATTTCAATAGGTATGTTGAGTGGTAATCTGGGAGCAGGAGGCACAGGAGTCCGCCCTGGTGGAGCTGGACCTGGAGGTGCGGGCACCGGCTTTGGACCTGGTGGAGTTGGGCCGGGAGGTGCAGGTACCGGCTACGGACCTGGTGGAGTTGGGCCTGGAGGAGCGGGTACCGGCTATGGACCTGGTGGAGTAGGACCTGGAGGTGCGGGTACCGGCTATGGACCTGGTGGAGTTGGGCCTGGAGGAGCGGGTACTGGCTATGGACCTGGTGGAGTTGGGTCGGGAGGAGCGGGTACCGGCTACGGACCTGGTGGAGTTGGGCCTGGAGGAGCGGGTACCGGCTATGGACCTGGTGGAGTTGGACCTGGTGGAGTTGGACCTGGAGGTGCGGGTACCGCCTATGGACCTGGTGGAGTTGGACCTGGAGGTGCGGGTACCGGCTATGGACCTGGTGGAGGAGTTGGACCAGGTGGACCTGGTACCAGTTTGGGACCAGGTGTAGGGACAAGATCACAAGGTAATATCAGGGACAACATACAGTAACTATAATATGCAATACAAAATGTTGTCTTATTGTTGATTATATTTTTTTTTCAGGATATGATGCCAATGCTAAAGCCCGTAAATATGGTAATGAATATGTTGTTTAAGGAATATTCAAGAAATGTTATACTGAAGGTACCTATTTCAATAGGTATGTTGAGTGGTAATCTGGGAGCAGGAGGCACGGGAGTCCGTCCTGGTGGAACGGGTACTGGCTTTGGACCAGGTGGAGGAGCTGGACCTGGAGGAGCGGGCACCGGTTTTGGTCCTGGTGGAGGAGTTGGACCTGGAGGTGCGGGTACCGGCTATGGACCAGGTGGAGGAGTTGGACCTGGAGGTGCGGGTACCAGCTATGGACCTGGTGGAGGAGTTGGACCTGGAGGTGCGGGTACCGGCTATGGACCAGGTGGAGGAATTGGACCTGGAGGTGCAGGTCCCGGCTATGGACCAGGTGGAGGAGTTGGACCTGGAGGTGCGGGTACCGGCTATGGACCTGGTGGAGGAGTTGGACCTGGAGGTGCGGGTACCGGCTATGGACCAGGTGGAGGAGTTGGACCCGGTGGAGCTGGTACTGGCTTTGGACCAGGTGGAGCTGGTACTGGCTTTGGACCTGGTGGAGTTGGTGCCGGGTTGGTACCAGGTGCAGGGACAAGATCACAAGGTAATTGTCAGGACAAAAATGTGCGTCATTGCAACTGACTGTATTAGTGAAATTATTGACTTTTCAGGATATGATGCCAATGCTAAAGCCCGCAAATATGGTAACTATTATGTGTTTTAAGTCATATTTAAGAAATATATCACTAACTTTTACTTCTTTTAATAGGAATGTTGAGTGGTAATCTGGGAGGAGGAGGTGTCCGTCCAGGTGGAGCTGGTGCTGGCTTTGGACCAGGTGGAGGAGTTGGACCTGGTGGAACTGGTACCGGCACTGGATCCGGTGGAGTGGGGACTGGTGGAACGGGTACCGGTGTTGGACCAGGTGGAACTGGTACTGGTTTTGGACCAGGTAGAGCTGGTACAGGCTTTGGTCCTGGTGGAGCTGGTACCGGCTTTGGACCAGGTGGAGCTGGTACCGGTTTTGGACCAGGTGGAACTGGGACTGGCTATGGACCTGGTGGAGCTGGTACTGGCTTTGGACCCAGTGGAGCTGGTACCGGGTTTGGACCAGGTGGAGCGGGTACCGGGTTTGGACCCGGCGGAGGGATCAGATCACAAGGTATATACTTGTAAGAAGAGTAAATATTTAAACTATTTAATAAATTGAATGGTGAAATTGTTTTTCAGGATATGATGCGAATGCAAAAGCCCGTAAATATGGTAATAAACTGTTATTTAATTTTCACTTTTAATGTATAAATTTGATCTTCTTTGATATTACAGGTATGTTGAGTGGTACAATAGGAGGAGGAAATACTGGTTTCGGACCTAGTGGAGTTGGTACTGGTTTTGGACCTGGGGGAGCTGGTACTGGTTTTGGACCTGGTGGAGCTGGTACTGGTCTCGGACCTGCTGGAGCTGGGGCTAGTTATGGGGCAGGAGGTGAAGCATTTATTATTCTTATTTTATCATATATATGTTTATCATATAGAATTTATTTTAATACACATCCGATCAAAATTGAAAAAAATGCAAGAATTTACAGTTTGCTAAAAAAAATAAAAATAAAAAAACAATAAAAAACTACCGCCCATTTTGATCCCACTATCTAAATGTGTACAGCAATAATTGGTCTACTTCGTTTTCAATCATTGTGCTCAGCACCAATCCATATGCACAGTAGAGTCAAGTCTGTTTATTTAGCCGGTTAGTAGCTAATGCCTGTTCTTTGGGAATTAGGTAAAACTGGAAGAACAGCAAAAACAGATTGCTCAGAAGATCTGAAAGACATGTAAATTCTTGCAATTTATCAACTTCAACTAATGAAGATCTGTGTCTTATGATAAGTATTTCCATAATGATATGATGGATGTATCAAAATATGAACTTCTTAAAAGTGAACTAATTAAAACGTATCATTATCGGATAGGGACTAGACCTGGTGAATTTGGACCTGGAGGAGGTGCGGGAACAGGATTTGGACCTGGTGGATTCGCACCTGGAGGAGGTGCAGGAACAGGATTTGGACCTGGTGGAGGTGCGGGAACAGGATTTGGACCTGGAGGAGGTGCGGGAACAGGATTTGGACCTGGTGGATTTGGGCCAGGTGAAAATTCAGTTACTTACCATTTGTTGAAAAATACTCTCATCATTCTAAATTCTTAATTCTTAACGTCTTCAGGATATGGCACTGGACAGAAACCATACAAATATAGTAAGAATGATAAGGATTAAAGTTATGTGATAAGCAGATAAAAACAATAGTGGTGATATCTATCTCATTTGCAGCTCCAGGTGCAGGGACAGGGGGAGACCTAGGAAGAGGAACAGGACGAGTTGGTGAGTTGTGTAGTGTACTGTATGGGGTACATCTCGCTTCTCAGCAAAAAAGGTGCTGGGTTGTCCATCATAAATCAGTTTACTCCATTGTTAGTGGGGTAATCACCCCCCTATCACTCCCGTGATTAAGATACCCATTAGTTTCTATGTGAACTCAGAAATTGGCAAGAGAATCTGACGTTTCGGTAGCAAAAATAACCACAGAAAAGAAGCTTAAGCTCGTGCAAATAATTTGTTACTGATCAACATTTTAAAGATGTCTGATTGTACAGTTACAGAATGATTGACAGTGAGATTGTGAGGTAAACCAAATAATGTCATAACTGGCCCCTCTGTCTGGATTGATGCACCTGTTGTGACAGCGTGAAAATGATTGTGAATACTTTGAAATTAAATAATTAGTGAACTAGGGTTTCGAATGAGGCCTGATTGTTTTCCAGGGCAGCCTGATGGGACTGTGTCTGGTGGAGGGACGGGCATTGCCGGTGCTTCCAGTGCAAATCGGACAGGGGTGAATGTTACCAACGCAGACACTGGCACAGGAACCACAGGTGTGCTGTTTTTTTCTTTTATTTGTTGGTATTTAATGCGTCTATGATTGTGAATAATGAACAGAAAAGTGGAAGTACCTTGAATAATTTGATAATCCACATACTCACAGTAATAGGCGAATCAAAGGATGGACTTGGACCAGCAGGAGTAACAACCCCTCCGACATCAGGAGGTATCTGACATCACTTGTTTATTCTGTGCAAATTATAATTAAAGTCTAACAGAATTCCTTTTTTTCTTAGGGGGTTCTGGAGGAAAAGATGGAAAAGACAGTGAAGGAGGTAATTGCGTAGTCTTTATACTGATTGCTTTACAAGCAATGTCTTTTGTTTTATAGTTCAGCGTTCATAGTTGATTTTGGTTTTGAATTTGTTTCATTGCAGGTGAGATTGATACAGGCCATTTAATTGAAGGGTCTGGAGGTTCCTTAGGCGAAGGTGTGTTTAAACTTGCCGAAGTTTTTAGTTTTTTCTATAGAAAGAGACAAAAACATGTGAACATGTATTTATGTATGTACTGTATTCATTATGATGAATTTGATTTTATAACTTCTAATACATATACTTGATACGTCGATATCTAACTGGGATAGGTGTGACTGGGGGAGCTGTAGGAGTGGACGATGACGGTATATTAGCAACAGGAATTCCAATACTTGCTGCCAAACCAGGTATGACAATATTATTTTGTATATTTTGTACATTTTTCACACACAACCATTTGAGCTCTGATGCATGTTTTTCAAAAAATAGGCATCAATGGGACAAAACTACCAGGTGAGTGTTAAAGAATATGACTGCACTTGTTTTTTTCAATAAATAGCAACTGTATCTTTCTGATTCTTTCAGGGGTCACCGGCGCAACTGCCGGTAAGTACCATTTATCTTGGATAGGTTTCTTTAACCAAAACTTGAGTTTACCACGACAAGCTATACAAGGTATATCTGGGCCTCTATTGCTCTGGCGCTCAGGGCCTGCTCCTGTTCAGCCATGATGACTGCCTTTGTGCTGTCCTGTAGGCTATCCCTTTCAAGCCATTGGTAGGACTTCTTGAGAGTAGCAACTTTTGCTTTGTTCCGGTGATACATCCCATATAGGGGCTTGCCCTTCCACGATGGCCCCTCTTGCAGCAGCTCTACACCTTGCACTGAGACATTTACTTTGTTCTGGATTGTGGCTCGTTCACTAGTTCTCAACCTTCTTCTTTATGGCTTTCATACAGTCAGAGGATGCTGGAGATTTGGGATGGATCCACCATGCATGGTCTTAACATCTGGGCTTAGGGTTAGGTTTTTGCGTGGGATTAACTTCCAAAGATTCTGTTAAAGTCATGAAATTATCGCAGGGTTGGTGCTATGAGACTTGGGTGGCATCACTGATTGCCACTCCCACCCAGAAATGGATTAAGGGGTAGAAAATGGATGGATGGATGGAAATTATCTCATTGTACCAAGATGAAATTGGTTGTTTCTTTAAAATATTTGTGCTTTTTAGGTTCAGGTAATGACACAACTGACGTACTACCTGGAGCCAAGCCCCTGAAACCTCCTGGTGAGCAAAAAACCCCAAGCTTCAAGGCCAATTCATATTAAAAAAATAACTTTGCTGTGACTTAAGTAGTAAACGTGGGGAAAACTCTCTATGCTTACAGCAGGTGCAGGTGTTCCTAGAGGAGATACTCCAGGTGAAGGAGATGGAGAAGGTGGACCTGATGGGGAAAGAGAATCTGCAAGTGGAGTTGGAGTGACACCCAAACCATCAGTGGGAGTAGATGGAGGTCCTGGTGGAGTAGGAGGAGGTCCCGGTGGAGTTGGAGGAAGTCCCGGTGGAGTCGGAGGAGGTCCCGGTGGAGTTGGAGGAGGTCCCGGCGGAGTCGGAGGAGGTCCCGGTGGAGTTGGAGGAGGTCCCGGTGGAGTCGGAGCAGGTCCCGGCGGAGTCGGAGGAGGTCCCGGCGGAGTTGGAGGAGGTCCCGGTGGAGTCGGAGCAGGTCCCGGCGGAGTCGGAGGAGGTCCAGGTGGAGTAGGAGGAGATCCTGGTAGAGTTGGAGGAGGTCCTGGTGGAGTCGGAGGAGGTCCTGGTGGAGTCGGAGGAGGTCCTGGAGGAGTAGGAGGAGGTACCGGTGGAGTAGGAGGAGGTACCGGTGGAGTAGGAGGAGGTCCTGGTGGAGCAGGTGCCTACAAACCTAGAAAAAGTAAGGAGCTTACTCTGGCATAAGCATGAAAGATGCAACTCATGTAAGGTATTGAATTTATTTCTTTGTTTTCATCTTTATAGGTTATTATGGAGCTGGTGGTATCGGAGTTTTACCTGGTGGAGGTATGTCGTTGTCAAATAGTTGAAAACTAGTGTATTAAAGACACACTTCAGGTCTATAAATATTGGTACATCAACTAATTTTTCAAAAACCAAAAAACATGGAAGACCAAGACTGCAGGGAATATTCTAATCAAAAACACTCTCCAGGAAGAATGGGTAGGGGTCAGTATCAAGAGAAGATTTCACCAAAGAAAGCTTATGATCCAAAACATAAATTCAACAGTAAAAACCGGCAATTTTTAATAAATGGTCTTCCAAAACGCAGTGGAAAGGTGTTGTAGGTGTGAACGGGAATTAAGAAGGTAATCTCGGGATTGAGGTTGAAATCTGCTTTTAGAAAGACATGGATAGGCAAAGATGTTATGTAGGACTAATAATATGTCTCAAAAAGTTCAAGGCACACAAAAAGGATGCAATTTATACACTTTTTACCTAACGAGACCTTAACTACATTAATAAGATTCCTAATGAAAGGTAACCCAACAGACTTCACTCTGCTTACCTCCATAGGCAAACTTTATCTTACTGGAGCAAAACAAGCAGTTGGAAAACCAGGGAAAGGTTAGTGGCTAAGGAAAATGACTTAAATGTTGTTTGCTCACATTGAAATAATATTAATATTTTTATTCCCTCAAAGTGTATGGCGCTGGTGGATATGGCACTGGTCCTGGAGGAATGGGGCCCGGAGGTGGAACAGGATTTGGACTTGGTGGCTTAGGTAATCGACCCATTATAGGACTTGGTGCCGGGACAGGACCTGGAGGCTATGGGCCTGGTGGTGCCGGGACAGGACCTGGAGGCTATGGGCCTGGTGGTGCCGGTACAGGACCTGGAGGATATGGGCCTGGTGGTGCCGGGACAGGACCTGGAGGCTATGGGCCTGGTGGTGCCGGTACAGGACCTGGAGAATATGGGCCTGGTGGTGCCGGGACAGGACCTGGAGGCTATGGGCCTGGTGGTGCCGGGACAGGACCTGGAGGATATGGTCCTGGTGGTGCCGGGACAGGACCTGGAGGATATGGTCCTGGTGGTGCCGGGACAGGACCTGGAGGCTTTGGACCAGGTGGTGCCGGGACAGGACCTGGAGGCTATGGACCAGGTGGTGCCGGGACCGGACCTGGAGGCTATGGACCTGGTGGTGCTGGAAGAGGTCCTGGTGGACAAGGATTAGGATATGAAAAACCACCTAAATCTGGTAACAACAAACACATTTGTTTCGTTTAATGTGTTGCATTGAGTGTTGTCATAATAGCATTTCCTTCTACTTCTTGTGCCAGGCTATGGGACATCTCAGGGAGGTACTGGCTATGGCCCAGGTATCATTCATTAAATAAATGTAACAAAATAAATAATTTGTTATTCATCATTAATTCATGTAATTATGAATGCATTCATTGATCAGGAGGTGGGTTGGGTACTGGAACAAGACCTGGCGGTGCTGGCACAGGACCTGGAGGATATGGTCCTGGCGGTGCCGGGACAGGACCTGGAGGATATGGTCCTGGTGGTGCCGGGACAGGACCTGGAGGCTATGGACCTGGTGGTGCTGGCACAGGACCTGGAGGATATGGTCCTGGTGGTGCCGGGACAGGACCTGGAGGCTATGGACCTGGTGGTGCTGGCACAGGACCAGGAGGATATGGTCCTGGTGGTGCCGGGACAGGACCTGGAGGCTATGGACCTGGTGGTGCTGGCACAGGACCTGGCGGTGCTGGGGCAGGGCTTGGTGGACAAGGACAAGGACTGAGAAAACCCCCTAAATCTGGTAATAACAAAACATGTTGTTTATTGTGGTTACAAGCACCATACATAATCAATTGATTTTGTTGTGACAGGCTATGGGACATCGCTAGGTGTTCGCTTTGGTCTAGGTAAAAAAAAGTACTAATAGTATGTACTAATTGAGAAATTATTTTAATTTATCAATGTTTTCATTATTTAGGGGTAGGGCCTGGCAGTGGTGGTGTTGGTACAGGGTCTGGAGGATTTGGACCTGGTGGTGCAGGGACTGGTCCTGGAGGATTTGGACCCGGTGGTGCTGGGACTGGTCCTGGAGGATTTGGACCCGGTGGTGCAGGGACTGGTCCAGGGACTGGTCCTGGAGGATTTGGACCCGGTGGTGCTGGGACTGGTCCTGGAGGATTTGGACCCGGTGGGGCAGGGACTGGTCCTGGAGGATTTGGACCCGGTGGAGCAGGGACTGGTCCTGGAGGATTTGGACCTGGTGGGGCAGGGACTGGTCCTGGAGGATTTGGACCCGGTGGAGCAGGGACTGGTCCAGGTGGATTTGGACCTGGTGGGGCAGGGACTGGTCCTGGAAGATATGGACCTGGTGGGGCAGGGACTGGTCCTGGAGGATTTGGACACGCTGGTCAAGGACAAGGATGGAGAAAACCTCCAAAATCTGGTACAAAGATAACATTTATCATATTTGTGATACTATCGATGAATATTTATTGTTTTCTGTTGTTGTGCAGGTTATGGTGGACCTGGATACGGCCCTGGTAAGAATTGTTTGTAGAGCATCTGTAAAACCTCCTAAAATCGATCCAGAGGAGTTCCATGGGAGAAGGAGCTCCAACGGTTTCTATGTAAAGAGTGCATTTGAAGCACTTGGTGGTGACCCTGTCAGGGTCTCCAATTGCAAATAGTTTCTAAGGATCTGTTACAAGAACTCCCATTATTATCATATCGAGGTCTGTCAATCAACTCATTTGGCAGTGCACTGAGTTTCATTGGGATCAGATGCAAAGAGGACTGGATGATGGGTGCCTTGATAACCAGTGCATTGACACAACATCTTGCTACGGCACTGGGTAGTGCACCGGTTAGGCTGGTTGTTAATCAAGTCACTATGAAGAACTTGGAATAGAGCTGCTGCTTCTCCATGTTGAGAATAAACCTGAGGAAGATCCAGGATATGTTGGGGGGGACTATGTCCTCTGGTTGGCATGAGAAAATACATTAGGTATCTCTACAGTCTCCATGCTCAAATCTCAACCTCTACCTCTACTTCAGGAGATAATGTATCCCTAGTCAGACATTTGACCAAAATATTAACAATGCAGTAGTTTCATTGATAGTTTGATTTGATATCTGCAGGAGTGGGCCCTGGTGGAGTAGGACCTGGTGGAGTTGGACCTGGTGGAGTGGGACCTGGTGGAGTAGGACCTGGTGGAGTGGGACCTGGTGGAGTGGGACCTGGTGGAGTGGGCCCTGGCAGTTATGGTCCTGGTGGAGCTGGGCTAAGACCAGGAGGAGGCTATGGACCAGGTACAATGTTTCCGTTTTTTAAAGCTTTTTTTAAGGACACATTATTTTCCTTCCATATCTTCATTAAATGTTGTCTTTTGCAACATTCCAAGTCAATGCATTCATCCTTTAAGCTGAAGTACAAGGAATATTGTTGTCATGTATTAGATCAAAGACTTTGAGGGCCCGCACCAGCTCATAGTGCCTAAGACGAGACTCTATCAACTCGGTTTGATAGAGGCTTCTCTGAGAATAGAGCAAAACATTAGAACTGCACTTTCTGTGGAGTGTCTTAAGTTTTGCCTTGAGACCTACTTTCATTCCCTGACTCATATTCTGTCTTTGTATGAGTTGTGGGGTCCTTTGTTTTCTAGACAACTTCTAGTGAAGTCAGATTGGGCATTTTAATTTATTGCCTGTCAGTTTTAGTTTACAGCTTGATTCTGTGCAGAACATCAGAAACTCCTTTGTATATACAATGTGCTAAATAAAATGATATTTGGATTTGAAGATTCTATTCCCAGGAAAATATTTAACTAATACGAATATGGTAAATTCATAAATATGTAAAGGAACAGAACTGGTTGTTGAAAAATACTCCCACAACATATTCTCATACACTGAATATGTACATTTTTTACACCAGGGGGAGGAACATCAGGGACAGGAACCACTGGAGGAGGCCCTGGTAAGTATGAACAAGGATAGTGCATCAAAGTGTCTTCAAAAGAGGGTAATGTGGCTGTATTTCCTGCAGGTGGTGCTGCTGGAACTAGTTATGGAGGTGTAGCTGGAGGATTCTACCCTGGTAAGATTTGAGTTCATATCTAATGAATCAATCAAATGAACAAAAATAACTATGTGTTGCATATGTTTTACAGGGGCTGGCCAAAAGAGTATGATAATATTTTTATTCTGTAAAGATGTATCTTATTATATTTGTCAAGTATTATTGGCATAAACATTTCTTCCTGTTTTACAGCTACGGCCCAGAAAGCAGCAAAATATGCAGCATTGCAAGCATTTTTGGGAAAAGGTGGCTACAGAGGTACGAACACAAAATTAAAATATCATTATGAAAAAATATACATTCATTATCATCCGCTCTTTATTTCCAGGACGAAAGAGGAAGTGAATATACAGGAAGTGACCTCATAAAAACTGTTGGTGCTATATGGCATGATCATATTTGTTTACCTGACTAGAGCTAAGGCTTCAACAAACAATGTTGAACAACACTTAAACTACAATGTTTTAAAACAAATGAGTCCGACAGACAGACATGTTTACATGCACACACACACACACACACGCACACATACAGACAAGCGTACATAATACACACACACACACACACACACACATGCATACATATACATGCACACACAAATACAACTGCCACATTTATTTGCTCCGTCTTCATTATGTTGTAGATGTTTTTTTGTTTTTCAAAAGAAATTAAGTTTCACATTTTGTATTTTGAAAGACAAACAGCTGCTATATTGGTCTGACTAATCTTTACAGAAGACTGAACAAAAATAAGTATTCATTTTTGCTGTTTTGTTTTCACTTTACCTGATGCACTGTTTTGTGATTAAGAACATTTGGTTGTACTGTTAAGTAAAATGTACTACTTTATTGTGTTTGAAAACATTTATAATAAAGTATGAAAGGTAGGCATGGCTTAATATCTATCTTGTATAAATGTACTGGCAGTTTTAAAATATTTCATTTTTTAATTTATGCCAAAAAAATCTGCCTACAGCCAATGAGTGTGAACGTTTTGAGCTTGTTTTAAAAAATGGTCAAATGGTTCTTGAATGTAATATCCAGACACTGTAGTCTGTGATTTTCCATTTGAATGTTTTGTATTTTAATTTAATATTTTTGTTTTTGCATTTGTTGTGTTTAGAGGAAAAATAATGCACTTTTGTACTGACTTTCATATTCCTCTTTAAAATTAAACAATTGAAAACATTAAATGAATGGTCTACATTTTTTCATAAAGCAATGTCTGCTTCAGTAAACAGGGCGACGAGAGGAAACGTTTAAACACACTATTTCCTTGTGGCCAACAAACCTCAACAGCTAAAATCTAATCTTAGATCATAGACTTTGTGAACATATTGCAGTTAAATAAACTTCAATACTTTTTTTTGTGTGGATAGGTAACACACTTGATCAAACATCCATCCATCCATTTTCTACCCTTTAATCCATTTCTGGGTCAGGGGGGTGGCAATCAGAAATGCCACCCAAGTCTCATAGCACCAGCCCCTCACTGACCCTCTGCAGGTGGTGAGTCCACAGGAGGACGGCTGCTCTCTGAGTGTGAGCATAGCCTTGATCTTCCAGTGGGGGCTTTGGGCAAAGTGGGGTTAAGTGTCTTGCCCAAGGACACAACGACAGCAGTCATCAGTGGGAGTCGGTGGAGAAGGTGCAGAGGTGGGAATTGAACCCACAACCTTCTGGGCTTAAGGCCAATGCTCTACCAACTGAGCTACTGTCGCCCCAAACAACATGATCAAACAACAATTGTATAATTCAATTACAGTTAGTTCTGTTCGAGTTGACATTAATCTTTTGTTTTCATTTTCAAACTTTTTTAAATGTTTTTTTCAAGACAATGTACAAACTTCACATACCATACAGAAAATGAAAAGGATATATGGATAGGATAGGATGGAAGGATACATTTCTTCAATAAAAAAACAACAACAATAAAAAACAAAAAATGCCATCATTCACCATTAGAGTGACATCAAAATTAAAGATGAAATAAGTTAACAGACATTATTTTAAAACCTATTACAGAAAAATCAATGAATGAATCTAATTGTACTAATTGAAACAATGGCTTGTCTCACCTGGTCTTCTTACACTGTATGCAGCACCTATGGCTCTGACATAATAAAGCTGGATTACCTCATGTCGTGAACAATACATGATTGTTTTGTCCCAACAGAGAATTTTGTCAATGTTAAATATTGTGGAAAAAACAGACCAGAACATGCTGTCTTCATCTTAACATATCTTTTGCTTGTGAGTCATTACTTTACACTTTGGGCTGAGATCGAATTTAAAGATAAAAGACGTGACTAAGGCCAAAAAACTAGTTAAAAAACCAATATCTTTTAAGACTGAGGAATTAGTTACCGTATTATTTGGATTATTAGTAGCAGTTTTTGTCATAGTTTGGCAGGGGTGCGATTTAGACTCTGGAGCGACTTACAGTATGTGTGAAATCCTTACCTTTTATATTTTAAAACTTAAATAATAGCCTGGGCTTTTAAGTCGAGTGATTAAGCTGTTAAAAATGCTACTTATAATCCAGTGCGATTTAAATGTTTTTTTTCCTTCGGCTGGTGCGAGTTATACTTCAAAAAATACGGAAGATGGATTTTTTTTACATAGATATAAATATACGTCATTACCTATTTATTGTAAATGCCCACAACATCTTTTTTCTTGCTTTGTCCCAGATGAGCTCATAAACGCTAGTAATTTCCTTCCTTGTTTGTTACATGAAATGAATGGAGTGCTTCTGAATCAGGACAGTGCAGTAATTGGGGCATTCATAAAGACATTATGCCTGCACTGATGGGAACAGACCCTACTTCAGACAAAACAGACTGTTGTGTTTCAAGCCCCGTGCTGTACAGCGATCTGCTTGACCATATATGTTAACTATATTCTGTATGTTAAAAGCCCAGGGTTGTCAGTCTAAAACAAAGATACTTTCTGATCTGGGAACACTTTTCCTCTTTCCCGGCAGAGGGAGACTGACCAGCCGGGTGTCAGTGTCATTGGGTCAGGGTTTTTTCTCACAAATACTTTTCAGAGGGAACTGGCTGCACAGGAAGAGAGCGAGAGGAAGAGAGAGAGAGAGAGACAGACAACGCCTGCTACCCGACAACAGCTCAGTGGATGTCTACTACTGAACAAATGAAGATAAGAAACTATTTAACATAGAAGAAACTGGCGTATTGGTAACACCACGATGTCCAGAAGAGACCAGCGGTTCAGGAGAGGAATGAAGGGAAGGTAAGATAAGCTGTCATGCTTTAATTGTGCTTGCATTAGGAGTAAAACTATTAATATTCAGCCAAACAGAATGACTGGACTTACCACAGTTTTGCAATAATTATAGGAACTATTCTTTTAACATTAACTATCTGTGCAATAGAAAAATGGGTCCAAACAATTTAAAGTTGAGACATTCTCGGCTATTTTTGAAAGTAATTTAATCAAGGAAGTACATATGGCCAAAACACACTACCGAGAGGAAACAGCAGAATACGTCACAGAAGTCTCACATTTGACCCCAACACAAAGAGCCCTGACATCACAACCTGTTTGTTCTGTGCACAGCAGGTGACAATTTTAGAGGAAGGAGAGGACAAGATCTTAAGACAGGACCCCTAAGGGGCTATATGGATATAGAATGGTGTCATGGGGGGAAGCAGGTTTTAAAAAGACTCAAGTGAAAGGTGATAGGGGTACAATAAACCGGGGCAAGTGATCCTCAAGTGTGCAGTGGTAGTAAGGAATCTGAGACTGTGACGTTTTAGCAAATCAATCATCGAATCATAAAAACAGACGTCCTACAAACATATAGGTATTGGTTAAAAAACTAAATTCATAGTTTTAAAGCGAGAGTAAAATAAAAACACAGCATTAATAGTACTAACTGGTCACGTCTTCAAAGACTTTTAGTTACTTTGAGAATGTAGCATAGCATAAGTGAGTAATTGTTATTCATAAAGCGCCTTTCAGAGTCACAGATTCACAAAGTGCTTTTCTTGAAATATGTAGCCTCAAGCTGGTATTTAAATGGCATAAATATCTTCTCTTATGAAAAACAGTTATTTTTCCTTAGAGTATTAATGTGAAATGCACACTGCAAAAAAGTGAATAAGTTAAGTTTGTAAGGTATTAACATACATGTTGTATGACTCCTGTATGTTATGTATAAAGTCTTTATCAGTATATAGACTTAGTTAGTCTTAATTAGTGTTGCATATGGAAGCTTAACTTATATAGTCTAACCCTAACCCTTATTTTCGTTCTCCTTTCACATTTGCAAGATTTAAAAACATACAACATAAGCTAAAATTAAGATCAACAATAATAGCGAAAAACTTAAAAAAATAAATCCATTAGAACATTTGAAAAAAGAGCAAACTCATGATATTTCTTTTCCCAAATTGTTAGTTTTTGGCTTCAACTGTAAAGCACTCAGATTTGTTCATACATTTAACTGCAGTGTTCCTATATACGCCCTTTGATGAAAGAACAGCCTGACATTTACAGTTTGGATCCAGAGGAAACAGGGGCAGGAAGTTATCTGTTCTACTCCTGGTGTCCGAGAGATAAGACCACAACCTTTTCATTATATTGTGAAAAGTTTAAATTACATTGAAATGTCTTTTTATTGTGTATTATGCACTTTTACTTGCTGCAATTCCTTCTGCCTTCACAAAGATATTAACCTGGGGCAAAATACAAACATGTGATGACTGAATGGGAACTTGTTGATATTTCTAACACCAGACTGTATTGGATTTTTTTTTTTTTATCAAGTCATTGTCGAACTGTAATTCTTAAAATGCAATCGTTTAGACGATAAAAATAGTAGTAGTTGCTCCAATCACAGTCAATCTCTCCAACAAGCAAAAAACACTTGGCCAGACGTCTTATATTATTAAACTGGAAACAAAAAAATCCACCAACCTATAATCATCTTCTACATGACATAATGAAACACATCCAAAAAGAGAAAAAGACATTTGAACTGAAAGGAAAGTTAAACAATTAACATTGTGTGGATGCGGACTAATGATGTTTTTTTTTTTTTTTTTTTTGTCTTAGGGTATCCTCTTTATACATATACATGTATTTGTGTTTATTTGTAATTATTTTCTTCTATTTTTTTTAACATGTTATAGTTGTGATGCCCTTCATGTCTTTTATTTTTTAATCATTCTGAAAATTCTCAATAAGCAGATTTATAACAAAAACAAAAAAAGTAGTAGTTGTGTCTATGTCCTTAGACTGTGCTTAGACTACAGACATTATACAGTTAAAAGTAGTGGTCGTGTCACTGTCCCATCCTGGAAGTTCCGCCTGACGCTGTTGCAGGAGGTCCCCTTTCTGTTTGGGCTCATATGATCCATCAGTGTGGGTCTCTGGTTACACTGCTTAAGACTGGCCTTCTTGAGTGTCTACGCTGCTCTGGTGTCTTTGTTTCATTCTATTGTTTTACCATTCCACATTCTTACGTTTCATGTTTGTAGGTGTAAGGAGTGCAGCTGCATCCTGTCAAATTGGTATTATGAGCGAAACGGAGAGCTGTACTGTAAGAAGCACTACTGGACCCGATACGGAGAGCACTGCCATGGCTGCAAGGAGGCCATTACGACCGGACTGATAATGGTGATCCAGTCATTAAGGATTTTAGTGGATCCCAAACACTCATACATACACGCATCTCTTGTTAAACTTCCAACTAAGTTTTATAGTTGACGTCCGGAAGCTTTAATGCCTATTTGTTCCGGTTGTGTTGAGGTGCAGTGTTCAAAATGTATAATGCATATAACATGGGTGTCAAAGTCAGATCCGGCCCGCAAATGAATGATCTTGGCTCCCAGGATGATATTTGATTAGTATTAGAACTGGCCCACACAGAACCAGAAGAAAATGTGATTATTTATTTAAAATGTTCAGGACGTGTGTTTTGTCTTTGAAATAAGTTTGTTTTTGAGCCTGTTGAAAATGCTGTCACTTGAAATGACTGACGTACAGACATTAAACACAATACCGTACACTGTGTTAGGTCTTGGTTCAATAGGCTACAAGCAATCATTTTAATATGTTTTAATAAACATTGAACCAGTCCGGCCCTCGGCTTGTAGCAAATTTGTTTTTTTGGCCTCTGATGTATTTGACTTTGACATCCCTGGCATATAATGATAATTTGTCCAGTTATTTAATTGTTATTTCAGAAGCTGTTTCAATCAATATAGAATGAGTATTAGCTGAAGTTAAGTAATGTTGTGAAAAAGAAACATACATCTTATATCAATGATAAAGGAAACCAAAAGAAACATGTCATGTATATTGTAGATCATAAACAAAATATTTGATATAAGTCCATGCAACATATTCTTTCACTTTAGTAACAAAATAAATAGCTGACAATAACTTGAATGGAGGTTTTCAAAGGGAAAACAGCTCAATCTTCCGACATTTTCCTGCTTCCTTTCTACAATAAGAAAGCATTTTTTCCCCCGCAGGATATCCTTGAAAACATCTCAAAGAATGTGAAGACAAAATATTTTCCAAGACATCTGGTAATTTGTGTTGTGTCTTTAGGTCGCTGGAGATCAGAAGTTTCACACAGAATGTTTTTCATGCAGAAACTGTGCAACAATTATCGGGGAAGGAGACACGTACACGTTGTTGGAGCGCTCCGAACTCTACTGGTGAGATCCAAGCACAGAATATGTCAATGTGTTCTCCAATCCAACAGAATGATAGAACTGTGACTGTTTAATTTGTCTGCAGTGGCCACTGTTTTCGACAGCGTGTAGACACAGATGCATCACAGACTCCTCCACTTACCAAAAGAAGACACATGGTGGCGCTGGTGTATTTCCCTCCTCAGCCAGGCGGTCATCGAGGCCTGTCCATAGACATAGATGCCAGTCAAGAAAAAGCCCCTCTTCTTACTGTGACTGAGTGAGTCTGTAGGAAAGATAAGTGAAAACACACATCCAATGAAAATGTATATATTTTAACTTCAATGTGTCTCACTCACAATAACCAGCTTGAACCCAGATGTCCTTAGCACTGGTTTGTTGTCTACTCTTCATGTTGGTGACAGAGTTTTGGAGATCAATGGTCTCCCAGTCTCCACCATAACACCAGAAGATGTGGGTTCTAAAAAAAAAAAAACATAAATGAGAAATGACAGCAAAACCAGTCTTAAATCCTGTTTCCTTTAGATCCACGGTGTGATGGAAGATTCAAGTAAACCGCTACAGCTGACCATTGAGCACAACCCTGCATCTCAGAGCCAACAGGACCCCACGTCTTCAGACAAACCCAACCCTGATAAACTCACTCTGAGCCACAGCCTCCCGTGTGTGGAGGAGGAGCCCAATTCCACTGAGGAGACAGAAGCTCCAGGTCAGGTCCAGCTGTCGCCTCCACACCAGAGACTCAGATCTCGACACATTATGTACGTAGACCTCGGCACAGTTTGCTTGTTTTGCTTGTGCAGTTGTTACAGTTGTTGTGTGTTCTCAGGCGGAGCTGCAGCATAGACAAGTGTCCTCTATCTCCCGGTTCACTGACACATTTGGCACAGCGCAGGGACATGGTTCGGTCGGAATCCCTCAGAGTGGACCACGGGGACCGATCTCATCGCATCTTTAGGCCCTCGGATCTGATATATGGAGAGGTCCTGGGAAAAGGCTTCTTTGGACAGGCTATTAAGGTGACGCAATTAAATCTGCTGAAATATTGCAATGCAAATGAAACAGAAGGTATTGTTTTTACATATTTTGTATGTAGGTGACCCATCAAGCAACAGGGGAAGTAATGGTAATGAAAGAGCTGATACGTTTTGATGAAGAGACCCAAAACACGTTTTTAAAAGAGGTGAGCTCTAGTTAACAGCACCGTTCATCTCTTTGTAAATGTGGCGGGGAACCTACACTCACAGTTTGTTGTGGTTTTGGGTGTAGGTGAAAATAGCTCACCTGACCTGAGCCACATCCTCATGAGGGCAAACTTTATAGTGTATTCATTTGACTTTTCTGTGCGTATCGTGCTTTGTTGGTCATATGTGCTTTTGTTCCTTTAAAGAACACATATCAAAACTTTCACCTACAGGTAAAAGTCATGCGCTGCCTTGATCATCCCAATGTACTGAGGTTCATTGGGTTATTTTACAAAGATAAAAGAATACACTTTGTCTCTGAATACATCCAAGGAGGGGCTCTGAGAGAGACTATAGAGAAAATGGTAATTTCATTAAATTATGATTTGACAATTGCACCATTTCTGACCTTTTCTATTGTTTAGGACCAAGATTTATCATGGAGTCTAAGAGTGAGTTATGCAAAAGACATCGCAGCAGGAATGGTAAGTTATTTAATGGTTTACTAATCATATTTATTCACCTTACTTAAGTATTTATTACATACGTACTTACTTTTTGTCCTTAATTTAGGCCTATTTACATTCAATGAATGTGATTCACCGAGATCTCAATTCTTACAATTGTCTGGTCAGAGAGGTACCCTTATTTACAGTTACCTTGGATTAACAAGAGGTAAATGACTAAAGTTCCTGAAGACTTGTTTTGCTTTTCCAGAACCAGTCAGTGGTGGTAGCGGATTTTGGGCTGGCCAGGTTAGTGCCTAAAGACAAGATTAATTCGTCTTCTTTGGAGAGACCAGCTAAAAGCTCCCCGACACAGGGCCGTAAACCCGACCGGAGAAAGCGATACACGGTGGTGGGAAATCCCTATTGGATGGCCCCAGAGATGATACATGGTCCACACATATCAGTTATTCATGAGATTGATTCTATCCCTTTGTGATCCAATATAAATTATAATGTGCTAATGTTGATTTTACACAGGAAAAAGTTATGATGAACGAGTGGACATATTTTCTTTTGGCATCATGATCTGTGAGGTATGTAGTCATTTCAGCTTTTTGACTTCAATAGGTCGCTCTGAATACAATTATTAATAAATGTCTTATCATTGAAATACACCTACATACTGCGACACATTTCCACTGATTCATTTACCATTCATTTACAAATGAGTGACTCAACAGGTCACAGATAAGATTATATTAGCTTTAAAATTACTGAACAAATCCTGTCATGTTAATGTGAGATTCTAATAGTTATCTGTAGTGTAAACTTGATCGCTTTCTGTGTGTAGATAATAGGCAGGGTGAGTGCTGACCCAGACTTCCTCCCGCGGACACTGGACTTTGGGTTAGACGTGTCTGGGTTCCTGAAGCAGCACCACCCTGCGGACTGCCCCTCTGCCTTCCTGCCCCATGCCGCCCTGTGCTGTGACATGGACGCGGACAAACGGTAAGAGAAAACATGTCCTACTGTGCAACAATGACATGAACTCATAAACAAGTTTTATTATGTTGGATCTTATACATACCACAGCTTTGGGTTATATGTCTTGACATGTTGTTAGCTCCAGATGCTATCTTACAATACATTTCTGAGACGTGTCTTGTCAATGTCTAACTGTGCCTCGTGCCTAGGGCATTTTGTCCAAAGTGCTTACTTACTTACAATTTCCTTATTTTTGGGGGGTTCAGATATACATTAGTTCAGATATTGATAATTTATAAATACCAAACTGATTTGCCACTGTTTCTTCTGTTTCACTTTTTAATTGCAACTTTTTATTGTATATAATATATCCTGCATTTAACATGTTTGCACATTTCTTTCTTTTTCACAATCTTGAGTGATTCTATCCATGCCAAATTTAAATTTCTCCTGTGTGAGATCAATAAAGTCTATCTTATCTTATCTTATATTTTGACGGCACATACAATCATTTGAAAGACTGTTTAATTAAGCAGCTGGTGAAAGACCCAAACTATTCTCAAAGCTTAGATGGTTTTCATTTATCGATTCCCTTTCAAAGGCTGTAGCTTGATAAGATAAACTTGATGCTGTTTTGAGCCAAGTTGACAACAATAAAGCTGTTTTAAAAGAGCAGCAGAAACACAGAAGTCATTATGAGCGATCATAATGTGGGACTTACTTTGTGTTGTTTTTCAAGTGCTGTTGATTAACCATATACAAAGGCAGCTATTATTATATTATCAGCACACAACATAAGAGATATCTTCAGAAAGAAAAATTATCCATAGCCATTTATTACATCATGAAAAGAAGCATTGAAATTATATATGACAGGGGGTACAATCAACTACTGAACTGTGCACTGCAAAACCCACATTTCACCATTTCCTAGTTAATATATAATAATTAGTAATTCAATTTACTTCCTGAAATTTTTGGACTGAATGAATATTGTCATCGGAAGCGTCTTTGAGTGTCCAAAAATGAACTATATACAACTGATGCATTAATATTATTGCTATTATTAAAATCTGAAACTTTGAATGCTTCATTCTTGTTATGGCTTGTCACTCTGCCATTATGAAAAAGTGTGTAGTTTGTCTGACGTACATGTAATGAAGGGGATATAAAACATCTTGGGTTTTATTGCAAAAAGACTATCGCACAGGGTATGAGGCTCATGTAAATTATTTACCAAGAAAAGTAATCACTTAAAATTAAAAAAAAAAATCACAAATAAGTAAAATATGACTGTATACCAATGTTACAGTAGTTTATCACAAATGTGTATGTAATTTATCTACCTCTCCAGCTCTCATATCACATACATTCACAATTAAGAAAATATAACTAAACCCTGGTTTCTATAAAGCATGATAGTTTTGTGTTTATATCATTCCCATTATTTTGCCTCCTTTATCCCAGTTGCTGAGTCTTTTACCTCTCTTGCTTCTTCCAGACCGCCGTTCTCACAGCTGGAGGAGTGGCTGGGAAACCTCTACATGCACCTGGACATGGGTCTGCCTCTGCACTCGGAATTAGAACTGCTCCGTTCAAACTTCTGGAAAAGATACAGCAATCACATCATTAGCGAAGATATCGACGCCATATCGATTCAAAACAAGGACGGTGGAACGCAGAGGAGTGCCACAGACACGCAACATTGCACAGACAACGAAAATAACCAAATTGAATTGCCTTCACTCAATCCCAGCGTGGGTAAAAACTGCTCCCCAGACTCCGATGAAGATCAGCTGATGCCAGACGAGTACAAGAAGCGGACGGACAGCAGTCGCGTCTTTCCCAAAAAGGATTGTAAAAAGCACCTGATGAGCCACGGCTGCTCCCAGAAGATCTGCAGGTCTCTGGGTAAAGATGCGACAAACTGTAAATGTAATTACACAACAGGAGACAAGAAACCACTGGAGCCATTGCCTACACAACCACTGCATGAAAACAACTGCACTCAGACTAATCGCAGACTGTGCAGAGTTCCCTGGGACAGATCTAAGGAGGACTCGTATCTATGAATGTGTAATATTTCATGTATTCAAAAGTATTGTTGATATAAAAATAACATGACATTTTCCATATTCATGTTTAGGGTCACAAATGGTCTTTATATTTTATAATTAGAGGTGGGAATTGGTAAAAAATGTGACGATTTGAAAGTATTGCGATATTTGGGCCACATTTTAATATTATTGCGATTCTTGACATATTGCGATACAGGAAGTATTGGGATTTGATTCTACAATATAATGTGATTCATGTCCCTGTATTATTCAAAGGCATTACCAAAGTGAAGGAAAATGAGAATGCGCAACTTAAGAGCAAAAACTTAGGATAGTATAAAAACTTTATCTTTGAACATTCAAGACTCAGGACCTTATAACGGACGAGACATTAATATTCCATGCATAGACGACTCTCACAGAATGGTGATCTCCCAGCACATCACCTAAATCATTTCAATACACTAGACTAGAGTAACAAAGTGCAGACAGAACACATAAACCTCAGATGTAAATTACAATGTAAATAATGAGAAAACACAAATCACAGTGAAACAGATATTTCATTAATCAAATATCGCTATACTTTGCTCAACTGTATCGATTGAATTGCCTGCACCAAATATCACGATACTGAACAGAATCTATCCTTTCCCCCACCACTATTTATAATGTACCAAAATATAAGAAATGTTTTGAGTGCTTTAACGCGGCCAAAGAACATAGCCACTCCCTTATGAGGAGATATTCTAATAAGCTAGCAATTTAACTAGCGTTTTATCTGTGAAACTCTAGCACTTTACATTTAAGCAAGCAAACCTTTATACTGTATAATAAATTCAGAAAAATGTATTTTTCAACTTTCTACTTTCATTCAAGTTGTCAATCATAAGATGTTATCAACAGGAGGTAGAAGTCGGTGGTGCTTTTCAGGCGTACGCAGTGTAGTAAAAGTTTAAGTAGTGAAAGTGCTGTAACTATAGGGAGTTTTCTGTCTTCATGGCTCTCTTAATCTGGCAGATAGAGAAATGTACGAAAGTAGTATGTTGGCCAAAGTTTGAAAATTCTTCTTCAGTTTCAATACTTTCAAACAAGTAAAATGATCATAGTATCATAGTTGATTACCATAAATTTTACAGTCAACTTGTCACAATTAGTAGAATAGCAGCCTTGTGTACTGTATACTGCACCAAAGACAGGCTGAGGCACATTCTTTGTCTGAGGCTGAAATGCTGAAATGACTCATGATCACACAGGACTGAAGTAATATCCCATTCTTGAGTTTCTGTTGAAAAAGAGACATTATGATGAATCTAAAAATGTCATCATGACACTGTTGATGCAAAGTCACAGTGACTGAGTGATCAACAAGTAATATTCAGCTAGGTACAGTATATGAATGTAGTCCCAGAGATCTCAACCACTCAATGACGATTTATGCAATTTGTTGTTACTAGCCACTGATGTGTTTGCAAAAAAACTCTTATTAGTAATAATAATAATAATAATAATATCGTTAGCGTTATACAGATACTATATAAATGTTAGCTATATTATAAATTGATTAAAAACTAAAAATATTGTATTATGTGTCCTAACTGTCCTAACGTAATGCAAGTTAGAGCTAGATAATAACAAAAAAAGGAATAAAGTGCCCTAAAGAGAAGAACAGTTACCCCTGTTACTTACTTCTATGACTTATTACGCATATTCTTGGCCTTATTAGATTTAATGTTAGTTAGCTAGCAGTTAAAAGTTTAGCTAGTTTTTTAACCAAAGAAATTAACGTTAGCCAACAGATAGTTACAAAGTTTGATAATACTAAAATAATTACAATATATTAACGCTAATATTGCATCATCAAAATGTATGAACGTAAATAAATGTATCTAAGCTATATCTTAATAAAATAATGTAGAACTGACGACCGTTAACCTTCCTTCACCAACCTCCAGGTTCATCTGCTGAGGAAAAGAATGCTAGTTAGCGATAGCCGACTTCAATTTACTTCAATAATTAATACATAAATTAAAAATACAATTAAACGTGTCATTAACATTATAAATTGTCCAAAAGGCGGTATTTTCCTGTACTTAGTTAGAAGACTTTTTGTTATTACTACTCATTACCAGCAGGTGGCAGCATTGATCCAGTCTGGAGCAGACTGGCGTGGCACAGTGGGACTCAAAACATGTTACTTTAGGCAGGATCGCAAGATATATTATTACATTTTATTACAGACACGAGGTCCAGATAAGAAAGAAGATCATCCCATAAAATAATGATAAAAAACATAATAAAATAATAAACACACATATTTACAGTCAGACTACTGAACCTGTGACGCCACAGTTCACAGTACTGTAATATAGGCAAGGCAAGTTTTTTTTGTATAGCACAGTTCATACACAAGGCAACTCAAAGTGCTTAATAAAACAAAATACATTAAAATCAAACAAGGCATACAGATATAATCACAGTACATAAAAAATGCTGAAGATACTGAAGATTTATGCATAGCTAAACAGAACTGTTTAAAACCTAGGCTTGAAAGCACTGAAAGAAAAAAGCTATTCCTCTTTTTTTTTCATTTAATTTTTTAGTATTGAATGAACTGTCTCTACATTTAGTGAAAACTTTATTTATCCACTGTCGAATGTAATCAGATGCCAAAGATTTCTAACACTAACATCCTGTTACTCACATAACATTACAAGGACTCTGATTCTGATTCTGATCTTATGTAATTAAAAGGTGAAACATCTAAATAAGTTTCCTCCGCAGTGGCTGGGCGCTCCCTTAGAGATAGGGTCGGGGATTCAGTCACACGACAGGAACTCGGAGCTCGGAGTAGAGACGCTGCTTGTCCATGCCGAGAGGAGCTGGTTGAGGTGTAATGGTAGTAAGTTTGAAATCATTTGCTCAAGAAAGAGTGAAACTATATTTGTACGGCACTAAAAAAGGGTGCAATTGTAAGCCTTTCAAATGTTTTTCTAATGGCACTATCTGTTTTTGCAAATTGACTATTCATACGAAGCTAAAACAGAAATTCAGACTAAGACCCTCACCCAGCAGCAATCAAGCACTGCTCACATCAAGCTTCATATCAAGAGGAAGCTCCATCACGCTGCAACCCTCCTCTTCCCCATCTCTGCCTCATTCCGTGCCAGCTCTTTCATCCCAGCTACCACCACCAGGGTCTGGGCTCCGGAGGATTTCATCTCATAATTTCTTTCCAAATCCTAACCACATTTCTGTATGGCAACAATAAATGTAATCTTGAAAATATTGTCGTCAGAGTCATATGTGTAATTTATGTGGTGTCAGATTACTTCGCAGCCAATATAAAATTCTAATAATACCCATGTTTGGTCTGTTCTATCAAGTTTTAATTATTTAAATCCACATTGTGGCAGATTGCAGCTAAAGAAACAACAATTCTATGTAAACAACATCTTTTTCAATGCCATACAAAAAGGTGGAAAAAGCTCTTATAAAACATCATACTATAAAGTCAGATGGTGTTGCTAAGTACAGTGCACTTCAATACATTCCACTGGTATACAGGGAAGTAACAGTTAAAGATCAGCTGATGCCGTCATAATTATAGCTTTGCACTTTTATAATCCTTAAAAACACCCATAATGCCAGTGGACTCCAACATCAAAACACATCAGGCATTATTTACAAACACTTTCTCATGATCCTATTGTTAGACCAGCTGTAACTACTGTCACCAACAACAAAGAACTATGTATTTAAAGAGCAAGAATGAAAAATGTCCAAATGATACAGGTTGTTATTGTTGATAACAACCTGAAAATGAAGTAAGAGTATCGTATACAATAGGCCGGAACCACTGCTCAAATGATAGGATTTGGTTTTAAAAGTTATTGTAAAAGAGGTTTATGGAAAAAAAAAATCCTAAAACTCAACTTTATTGTCCCTGAAGAAAAATTTGCTACTTCTACAACTAATACAATTATTCAATAAATCAATATAATTTGTATAGCGGCTTTTCTACACAGGGCAACACAAAGTGCCTCACAACCCACACCACATCAAGCAAATCATAAACATTTAAATCTACATATACATACCAAAAAAATTTATTAAAAACAAAGATTTACATCACAAGAAATATTAAAAACAGAATAAAATCACGTTTTATTAAGTAATTATAGACTTTAAAACATTCAAATCACACACAGGATTAAAATAATAAAAAGCCACAGTGCATTAAAAAGAGTGAATATAAAATCCTATAGTTGTAGAGATAAATACATTTACTACTACAGCAAGAAGGTCCTGGGTTTGATTCCCGGTCGGACCAGGGCCTTTCTGAGTGGAGTTTGCATGTTCTCCCCGTGTCTGCGTAGGTTTCCTCCGGGTACTCCGGTTTCCCCTACCACTAAAAATATGTACAATAGGTCTGGCATGCGCCGCCTGTACTGGCGACCCCGCTCCCATCTCTGTGTGGAGTGAGAGACAAATGCCCAAAATAAAACAATTGTAAACCGCTTTGTGACTCTGGTCTGTGAAAGGTAAATAAAGATTACTTACTTACTACTGGATGTAAATGTATAACTAGTTACTCACAAATCCCGTCACTATAAACTTGAAGCTCAGAACTGAAAAGTTCCTCTTTGGGGAATTTCACTTGGTTTTTGGCATATTTACTGTAAAACTGTATCTCAACCATTTGGTAAAGGCTGATAATAATAATAAAAAAGTGAGAGAAAAAAACATAAAAAATCTAAAAAAAGAAAAAAAAAAACATTCCTTTTTTTCAAGGAGCGAACATTAAAGGGTTAAAGTTTTATCTGTGGACTCTAAGGAGCACAGGGACTGGCCTCCTGCTGGGACTTTGAGGAGCACAGGGACTGGCCTCCTGCTGGGACTCTGACAGGGACAGTGCTATACAAATGAACACGCCTCGCCTTGTATGTTTTTGCTCCCAAACAGGGAATAAACAAACTCACGGAGCCCACATGAGAGAGTGTGGACAAAGCCTGACTAAGACGGCAAAAAAATTGCCAAAATCCACTAAAGCAAATGTTTTTCAGTGCCTCATTTACATTTTTTATACAAGCTGCACCTATTTTTACACCTGCACCTTCTGTGATCTTCATGTTGTTTTTCTTCTGGCCGGACTTTGGCTGAACAACCCGCTCCCCGTGAGTCAGAAGCATCAGATGGCTGTCACATACTGAACATGGTCTGTCCACATCCCTGCAGCTTCTATGAGTCATCACAAGCTATAGGGATGTAAGAAATAATGTACTTTTTATGTGTGTGGTTGTGCTATCTCTGGACAATGTGGACGATCATTACCAGAAGAGGACTGCTCCTTCTCCAAACACATTTTATTTTATTTTACAAAATAAAACCTTAAAACTATGTCCCATTGTAAAAGTTATAATGGTAGAGATTCTTTCGTGCTTCTTCAAACTAAAACTGTTATAATCTCAGAGGTGTATTTATTTTTGAATCTACTAAAGCAAGAACTACAGTAGTGAGTTTCTGTTCTCGATGTGAAATTATGGAATTAATTAACGGAAGATTTGAAAAAATTATCTTCTTTGTTGACAAATTAAATTGTGATTATTGTTTAATTGGCTGAGGTAGGGTGCTCCTTTCACTTTTCTGTCTGAAAAAGTTTGCATGAAAACTAGTGATAAAACCAAACTGTTTTGAGAGCAAGGATCTAGTTTCATTGTCCTGTAAAGTCAAAAACCCCAGATTTAATTGGTTGAAATAGACAAAAGATTAACAAATGATCCCAGGCATAAACCAAATGAATGAACTTGAGCTTGCCCTGTTCTTAAAGTTAAACAGTTATACAAAAAAAAAAAGGATGTGGGGTTTAAAAGCCAGACCTAGCTTTGAATTTCCTTCTCCGACTCAAAGGACTTATTAATTATGATTCACATTATGCAAAGCGTTCAAAGACCCAGTTAAAGGAAGCCATTTCCCTGTGATCAATCATAAATGCCGCCAGTTAAAAATGAATCACAGAGGATCCTTATGAGACGTGTGTTTTCTGCTCTGTCACAGCAACAAAGCAATTTCAAGTTTGTTTTAACAGACTTTAAACCCAGGATTTTTATTTGAATTGAGCAACACTGTATATAAATGTGTCCTTTCCTGCTACTGTATGTATACTGTATATAAGATGATTACTTATGGGGACTATAAAACACATGACAGTAGGTAAAACTGGGAGACTCAACTTTGAAACCACTAAAATAACAATATATAATCAAATCCATTCTCTCTTGCGTGTATTGTTGGCCTCTGTCACGTGGGCCATGTGATTTTGGCTTAAGAGGACCCCTGGAAAGTGTTTATTATAGTTTTACATCAAGTGACAGAAAGCGATAGATTTTTCAGTACAAAAAGTGATGAAAAATGAAACAAAAAAAATCTCAAACTTGTTAAAATGTATCTTAATTTGAACATATTTTAGATCTCAGGTCACATGTTTTCAAAGATCGTAAAAAATTTACGAGAAGAAAAAAAAACAAAACTATGTTGTGTCTATAAAACAAGATTTGACAATGGAACAAGCAAAAAGATCTTGTTTTAAAAAGATACAAGAAATGTCTCACTTGGAATGAGAAAATAAAGCAACAGTTCTTTAAATAAGACTAAATGGCTTTGTCCCGTTGGAGAATCTTGTTTTAAGACAGTCAGAATCTACTACTGGGGTGGCATGGTGGCTGAATGGATAACACTCTTGCTTCTCAGCAAGAAGGTCCTGGGTTCGAATCCCGGTTGGAACAGGGCCTTTCTGAGTGGAGTTTGCAAGTGTCTGCGTAGGTATCCTCCGTGTGCTCTGGTTTCCCCTACCACTAAAAACATGTACAATAAGCTCCCATCTCTGTGTGGAGTGAGAGACAATTGTAAACCGCTTTGTGACTCTGGTCTGTGAAAAGCGCTATATAGATAGAGATTACTTAATTACTAACTAAAATTAAGAGAAAATGGCAAACCTTGTTGACAGAGAATTGAGCACCCTCACCTGAAACTGATGCAAACTTGAAACTCTGCAGCCTTTATTAACAATTCAAAGTACACTATACAAAAAAGTCTTTCAAATCTTCTCACATCATTTCCTTTTCCCATACTTTGACCAAAAAGGTTGAAAAACACTGACCTACACAGCCACATGAGCATCTTCCTTGCTTCCTTGCGTTGCTCCAGTTAAATTTCAAGTTGTTAAATATTCTCTTGTTCAAAATGAAAACCTGTCAAACTGTTCACATGGGAGAATTGTAGTATTGTATTATCCTAAACGTCTCATCTTCAAGTGGTAGAGAAATACAGGTTAATACTACATTTACTTGTTGAAGACTTGATATTATGGCATAAAAGTCTAAAAAATATTGAAAGACAGAAGCCAGTTCACTTCAATAACCTTTATTTAGTTTACAGATGTCTCCATTTGAAGTTCAGGGCATAGAGGGAGCATTAGTGCTATTTACAATCGGTTTGAAAACGTGAATATATCTGTACAGATTTGAACCCTGATCATTATAAACAATATCTTTAAGACCTAGTGCCGTTACAAAGCGATTTTAAAGCAAAAGTAAAACACAGAGGATTACATTAAATTATGCACAAGTGAAAATAATATTAAAATAGCACAGAGAGAGCGAGAGAGAGAGAGAGAGAGAGAGAGAAAGAAAGAGAGAAACAAAACACAGTCTGGGTGATTAGGGAGGTTTGCTGCACACGTGAACTGGCTAAACACCAATATCATGTTTATATATCAACACAGTCTAGTCACCAGGCCCTATTCCAGATTTATTATTATTCTACACTTTCCTTTAATGCCTTTATTTTACTCCCACTGTGAAAAAAAAAAAAAAATGAAACAGACTGCTTTGTACACGTGGATTGGTCTGAGTTACACTGCGAAAAATTAACACAAAATAATGTGATAAATGCTTGAATTCCTTCTACATACCTTTAAATAAGAGGAATTTGTACTTTTGAGTGGATCATCCTAATTGTCAATCATTCTGGTGATACGTGCTCGTCAAATAAGACCAGAGTTTTGACCCTAAAATTTGGAAAAATCCTCCTATATACCTTTAAGTGCGCTTTTCTTAATTTGACCACATTTCGACAGTCTAAAAACAGGATTTGCCAATGGGACAAGCAAAATTGTCTTAAAAAGATACAAGAAAATTCAAGAAATGCCTTCCTTGGAGACTAAACGGTTTGTCCCATTGGCAAATCTTGTTTTAAGACAGTCAAAATATTCTCGAATTAAGAAAAAAAAAAAACCTTAATTCAAACATTTATTACCCCATATTTTGTCATTTTTTTGCAGTGTGTGTAAAGTTTCATCTTGCGTAAAATCAATACAAAGTTATTTTTATATTTTCTTGGTGACAATGACACCAAAAAACCGATTAAGAATCGTGTGCAGTTCTCTTCTGTCCGATTTCCGATTCTCTGCTTTCTCAAAAACTGTGCCGTCGATTATTTACAACAAGAAAACCGTCGCCGGTCGAGCCCAAAACCTAGATTCTTGAATTTTAAGTCACATATTCCGCAAAAATTGCCCTTTTTTGTTGAGTTTTTCTCATGTTTCAACAATGTTCCCTCATCCAAAAACAGGCTGGAGATGCTTTAGAGAACCCCCCGCCCTTTCTGTCTGCATGCTTCCATCTCAAACTCGTTACACTAACTCGTTATAATTCAGCCTTTTAAAACAAGCCACTATAGTTAACGGATGTATCGCTACTTCTTACTTGACCATTATGCAGGTTTTATTCATACATTTTCTACTTGAGAAGTGACTTTACATTTTAACAAGTGAAGAACCAAACTAAAGGAATAGTTCATTTGTAAAAACAGATAAATGCAGATTAGAAAAACATATTTGAAAGGCTTAGAATCTGCAATTTACAGAGTAGTTTTCCGTTTTTGCAGATGAACTATTCAAATATTCTCAAGATTGTGTTTAAAGAGCCAAAATGAACATAAATAGCCCAAAATAGTTGTTCTTTAATGTAAGATCACCAATAGGACTGTCAAATTTTAAGTTTTCTACGTCTTCTAAGGCTTCCATTGTGACAACCTTGTAGCCAAATATAAAAAAGTTCCCATATATACATTAGTACTGCTGCATATTTTAATGTTTTGTATCTGTTTTGATAGCCCTAATTCAATATATCCGAGTTCCTTCACAACACTGGCACAAAAAGTTCATTTTAATCATATTTTTTCAATGGTCAAAGTAAGGAAACTATATCGAGCACACAACACTGGTTGGTCAGTAATATAGGTATATTTCACTTTATACACTATAAGCAATATATGCATGGACTGTCAAAACACAGTCACATATGTCTCGCACAAACAATATATCATTATTTGTCTTTTATTATTATTATTAGGCTTATAATATTCAGAGAGAGAGGAAACAAAGTCTTCCTATGGTTATTTCTCTATTGTGCACAAGAGGGCAGTATAAATGACATCTCCAGACAGGTGTCCAGCTGGATCAGGCACCGTGAGCAAGTATTACACCATAAAATTGATTCCGTTTGTGTGGACTTGTGTGTGTATGTGCGCGCGTGCGCGCGTGTGTGTGTTATAGTGGTTAAAATCCGTTGCCGTACGAAAAGACAAGGCCACACGCAAAAAACTCACCGCATCGCTGTGACGGCCAGCTCATAAAAACAACCACGTGTGGCGATCGATAGTAACGGTATGGCATGGCAGCGGGAGGCTTGTTAAAAAATCTCAAAATAACAAAAAGGTGACATGCAAATCCAGTTCCTTCCTAAGACGGATCATCAAGTTACGACAAAAGGAATCAACGCTATCGTTTGAATCAGCTCTTTTAAAGTGAAGTCCCGGGGCTGAGCCTGTGGTCACAATGTCTCTGTGTCCGATGGAGATGGAGAGGGAAAGACGTCCGATCGCGTGTCCTTCTGGGTGACGAGGCGGGCGAGACAGGGCGTTGGGACGAGCTCGAAGTCTGTCCCAGAACGAAGGGGGGAGGAGGAGGGCAGGACAAAGAGAGAGAAAGTGAGAAAGAGACAGAGAGTCAGAGAGAGTTAGAGAGAGAGAGGGGGGGGCTTTACAGGATGACGCAGCAGTTGCTCTCGCCGGTCTTCTCACGATTTCTCTGACCTGCGATTCAGACAAGAGGAGTCATGAGCTTAGTACATGCAGCGATACACTGTATACAGCAAGATTTTTCATTTGTGCTACTGCTGAATAGGACGGAAAACATTCAAAATGAGTGATATAGTCTGTATTTCCATTATTTCACATGTTACATTGCAAAATATATCTCAAAATGAGGTCATAATTTCTTGAATGAAGTGGTTTTTGTATTCATTAGACTCGAGCACATTCTGACTGTCTTCAACAAGATTTGCCAATGGGACAAACTGTTTAGTCTTATCTCAAGAGCTGTTGCTTTATTTTCTTATTCCAAGGGAGACATTTATTGTATCTTTTTAAAACAAGACAATTTTGCATTGTCTCACGGGCAAATCTTGTTTTAAGGCTCAGTCAGAATGTGCTCAAATATAGACACATTTGGCCAAACCAGAGACAAATTTTGAGTTATTTTTTTCATCACTTTTTGCAGTGTAGTGCCATATGAAGGAAGTCTGAGGAGCACAGGGACTGGTCTCCTGCTGGGACTCCGAGGAGCACAGGGACCTGCCTCCTGCTGGTCCTAGAGTCAGGACTACCCATGAGGAGGCAGCATTTCAGATTCATGCGGCTAAAATTGGGAACAGTCTTCCTGAGTTTGAAATCTGTCTTATTTAGCTGTGCATATGACTCTTGGCATAAATCTTTAACTGTTTTCATTAAATGTTTATTAAGAACAACACGTAATTTAAAAGAATATGTTCAACGTAAGATACCAAAAAAAAACACTCAGGCAATTATCACTTATTTTATCATTTTTTACAGTGCTTTTAGGGTCAGTTTGTGCAGACGGAGGCCCACTCTCTCTGGTGCTACTTCCTCCAGGACTTTCCTTTGCTTAACCTACGTCAAATTCAAGGTTCTCATGGCCTGATGTCTGCATAAAAGATGGAATTCTCCTAATAATGACTCATGTAATTCACAAACCCATGTCCTTGTATTCCCTTCACGTTTATTCATCATGCTAAATCAAACTCTGGAACGAACCGCTGACCTTAAGGCAACACTTCTATGAGTAGTATTTTTGAGTTGTATGGATTCATGTATAAATAATTCATCGTTCTTATACTGTCTTGGACCTGGATGCATTCTTAATGTGGTGTGCGATCGATAATATCTCCAGTAATTGAATTCAGCCCAGAGATAATGCTAAAATCAAGAGGCTTCTAGGAATCGCTCAAATACACCTTTCCACTGCTGCCTCTTCTCCTACGCAGACTCATGAGGACTCACATAAACATGAAGACGTATTAATATTATGGCAGTGCGATATATTATACAAAATAGATATATGCGATGATAGCAAGGTGGATAGGAAATTCCCCTTTATCTTTGAAATTCAAATGCCGGTTCTTTCTGTGTTATTGTGCGTGTGTTTGCATTTTTTTGTTGAATGGAGCTGCAGCTGAACTGTTAAAAACACAATTCGGACTCTTGTGACTGACAACAAAGCACTTATCTATCTATCTGTCTATCTATCCGTCTATCAAAGCCCTTTTTCCAAGGTCCTGGTTCTGTCCAGTTTGGTTTTCCACCAGAGAAAAGTGAAGGCTAGTTACCATAGCAACACACTGTTTATGGTCAGTAGTTAGCATTAGCTTTTAGCATTAGGCTTTAAGGTTTTACTTATTGATAAAGGTGAGAGAAACAAAAAAAAGTAATGTATGAACTACGGGTGACAAACTAAAAACATTGGCTCTGGGAGACTTCAGTGTTAATAAAGTTATGTGAACGTGACCAAAGTGAGTGTTTTTTCTTATGTAATGAAATTAATCTGAAGCTGAAGCTTTCTTGTCTGACAATATTGAGTCTGAAACTAAAACTCCTAGTTACATTTAATTAACATTTATGGCCATTGGTCTCTGTCCCTTATGGACCAATGGCTCTATGTGTTTTTAATCAGTGCATTTCCTGTGTTTTAACTGTTTGATTCTCTGATCTTTGTTGGCAAATCGACGGCTTTGTAAAGTCCTCCACAATAACTAGTTTTAATTTAGAGCTACACAAAAATACTCTGAATCAAATTAAATTAAGAAGAATAATCAACATGTCAACAATGTATATATTTGATAAAGTCAAGTGTGCTTGATTGTTTTGATTTATATCCCCATTAGCTGCTGAATTATATAGTAGCTATTCTTCTGGAGGTCTATATACTCATCAAATGTCACAAAAAATGAATGTACTAACACAAAATATGCTTAAAAAATAAATAGTGAGTATTTTTCATGTCACAAAATAGATCAGAATCTTTATCGTCACAACACACACAGTTTTCATCCCCCATAATTCCCTGAACGTACACAGCGGTTTACAGCAACATTGTGCCCAGATGGTGGTCCCTCCTACTGCTTTGTTTCTTCCCACAGTCTGAGGCGGTTGTAAATACATGTGATCACACAACAGATGCTCCGCAAAACACCACTGAGAATGCATTAACCTTGTGTGTATACTGTATTTAACCGGATTTAACTGGAGTGACGAGATGGAGCCTGGAAAGCCCTTTGCTGTGGCGGAGTGGATAGGGTTAAACAAGGAGAATATGGTAGCACAGGTACAGGCCGTGTGCATTAAGTGACAATAGAAGATAGTAATCAACACACAGGGAAAACTCGGGAAGTTCGAAAATTGTTGGAAATGGACTGGAAGCTAAAATCATGACTGGAATATGTCACTGTGTGTAATAAGTCTATATCTGTCTTCTTGATTATGCTAAAGCTAGAGATTTTATACTAGATTCTTATTTATGCTAAAGCTAGAGATTTTATACTTCTTTATTATGCTAAAGCTAGAGATTTTATACTAGATTCTTATTTATGCTAAAGCTAGAGATTTTATACTTGCTTCTTTATTATGCTAAAGCTAGAGATTATAGAGTTATTACTGTGGGACTTATACCGTGTTAATCTTAATTACGAGTATTTTATTGAGGTCTTTTCAGAGGTTCAATTGCATGTGAAACAAATACATAATATAGACAAAGACACAGAGATTGGCCAGAGTGCTGCTGGTGGCCGTGGTTACACCCAGGTATTTCAACAGAAACTGGTTTGTTGTCGGGAGGTTGCTATGATACAGAACCAGATACTAAAGCTTAATTGAAACACAACCAGGTAGAGTAGAGTAGAGTAGGGGAGAGTAGAGTAGAGTAGAGTAGAGTAGCGTAGAGTAGGGTAGAGGAGAGTAGGGGAGAGGAGAGTAGAGTAGAGTAGAGAAGAGTAGAGTAGGGCTGGTGGAAACAGGGCTTTTCTGTATCTATTGTTTGTATACATTTGTGTGTATATTACATGTGACGCACTTTGAGAAACTGTGGTTTGTTGTAAAAGCGCTACATAAATAAAGTTTACGTTTTAAAATGTCGTCTTTTCTCTAATTGCAATGAACTTCTTGATAACAGCCTTTTTTTTTTTTTGTACTTCAAACATCTCTCAACTCGCTCTACGATTCCCCCAGAGTTATGTAAATGAGCCGCATCAATCATTGCAATTCCATTCTTTTACGCCTCTCATAAAAGTCTGCGGGGGCCGTGCATGTTTGGTCTGCGTTTAAAATAATCTTTTTTTTTAGTGGCTATAAATCACAAAAATTGCAAAATCAGCAGCTGCTTTTGAATACGTCTGAAGAAAAAGGCAACATAAACTTTTGCAAACGGTTCTTTCTCTCGAGCTGTTTCATGTCCCGGGGTAAGGTTTTAAGAAACTTGGAGGCAAAGTTGCCAAGTTTGTGCGTTTGTTTCTCTGTGTGCGGTTGAATCATGGGAGATGAGACGGGGGGTGGTGTGCACTGCAAAAAGTGATGACAAATAAGTCAAAATGTGCTCAAAGTTTGCTAAATGTATCTTAATTTGAGCACATTCTGACTGCCTAAAAACAAGATTTGCCAATGGGACAAAGAGCAAAATGATCTTGTTTTAAAAAAAATACAAGAAATGTCTCCCGTTTCTTGAAATAAAACTAAATCACTGCAAAAAATATGAGGTAATATTTGTGTTTCTTTTTCTTTAAGTACATTCTGACTGTTAAAACACGATTGGTGTGATGCTGTATCTATAAGGGAGTCACTTCTTGTATCTTTTGGAAATCTTTTTTTTTTTATCCCATTGGCAGCCAAAATGTGCTCAAATTAAGACAAAAACAACTCTTTTAGCATTTATCACCTCATACTGTGTCACTTTTTTACAGTGTGGTGGTATAAAAAGGCTTTGAAAGAGAAAGCAAAGCGGCGGGCGATGGTTACCTTGGGAATTTGGCTCGGGCAAAGTCTCTCTGGCAACTAAATGCATCACTGTGGTCTTCCCCAAGGGCAGTTTGAGAGCTGTGTGTGGAGAGAGAAAAAAGACAAGATCCAAGAGTTATTCAGCAAGTTAAAGCATTTCAGACTAAACACAAACACGGCTACAGCAGCGCATTAGCTAGTCCGTTATGTATTATTCACAAAGTACAGAAAATGGCTTCTTCTTCATCTTTTCCGACTAAGTGTCACCTCAGAGACATAGCGTCGGGCCATTACCGGGTCACAGCAGGACCCAGTTCACAAAACATGGCAACATGAAAGAAGTAAATAGTAATGAGTCAGTGTTTTTCGACCTAATTTAAAGCTGGGGTACCTTTTTTCATGAATAATACATGTGTGTCCCAACAGAGAGAGGCTGGTAAAGGTATAATGTTGTGGACAAATCAGACCACATGCTGTCTTCAACTGAAAAACATGTTATCTCTTAAGTACTTATAAGAAAGAGGCCTGGCAGTCACTATTTGACATTTTAGGCTGAGAGCTGATTGGCTGAAAGAGGGAGGGTTTGCTCTTTTTCATTTTTTCCGTCTGAAAAAAAAACTAGCAGTCTGTTTTGACTGCGAGAAACTTAAGTCAAGTCAATGTATTCTATTACTACATTTTGTGGTTTGAAAGTCCGGTACCCAAGCTTTAATGAGCAAATATTTCACAGTCTCTGTTATTAGTGAACTTGAGAGTAATCACCTAAATGATGCCCAATCATTTAAAAGGTGTCAGCAAGTTTAAAAGGGTGTTTAATTTGTAAAAGAATAAATATTTCTGACCATGGAACACTGCACTGTTTTGTACGTTAAGTATTTGTCAATAAAAACATATTCAAAATGGTCACTCATCTTGGAAAAATTGTGACCAGTAGAATTTGCTGGAGGAGAATAGTGATTGTTTTGTTAATGACACAAATGTCATGATAATAATAATACATTGTACTTAAATAGCACTTTTTTGGACATTCAAAAACGCTTTACAAAGAGGACAGGTCATGTATGTGACCCTTTATCTATGCAAGCCTTATTCTATTCTCTACTTTCACTTGTTTGCACCGAGAGCCAAATCAATCAATCAATCAAAGTTTATTTGTAGAGCGCCTTTCATGCACAGGGCAACACAAAGCGCTTCACAGTCCACATCACAAATCATCACATAAAACAAACACCAGAATCACAATTAAAACATTAAAATCACACAAAAGATTAAAACACAATAAAAACAATAAAATCACACAAAAGAATAAAACCATTAACACTTTCAAAGTTACACAAGAAATTTAAAAAAATAAATAAATAAATGACAGCAGTGCATTACAAATGGAGAAAAATCATTTTCCTAGTTTGTGACTTCTTGTTACGCACATGGCAATAAAAAAATCTGATTCTGAGGTTAATAAGAGACGAAAAAATACATACATAAAAAGACAAGCAAAAGCTAAGGCTAAGGCTAATGCTAAGGCTAGGCTAACGCTAGGAAGAAGCATAAAGCAACTCTCCCATCGCTAAGACGACAGAGCATTTTAACAGTGCTTTAACTTAATAATAGCAACAATCTATAGTAAAGAGTAGAGCCGAGTTTCTGATGTGGACATTTGAAACCTCCGATAGAGGAATCATCAAGTAGAATGTAGAGCGTTGTGTGTAAAGTGGGTTAGGGGCTGCTCCAACTCCATTAACCAAAGAAAAACACTGGTCAATGCAAAATCAGGTTAAACACAACTAAATGCATTTACAAAAGGAAGAAAAGAGCAGCTCGAAAGACCACACCCACAGCACACTGCAAATAATATTATGCTAGACGCCCAGTGCGCACATTTCTGATTTATATTAGCTATAGCTATTTTTTAACTGAATATTTTTCAGAGTTTGATTCTCTGATGTGTTGTTGGCAAATCAACAACCTCGAGACGACCGCAGCTGTAATTTAGGGCTGTACAAAACTAAATTGGCTTTAACCGTCTTCTGCAATCTATTTCTTGAACACCTCTGTTTGCTCTTTTAATTGTTCCTTAGGGAAGAAGGCAGTTTTTGGTTGATTGATTGATTGGTTGATTGGATGGCGGCTATTTCCTGTGCTCTTCACCCTTGTGCTATCCTTAGGTTAAAATGACCTGCCACAGCGATAAAACAAAACACCCTCTAACAATGTTTTTCAGCGGAAATTTGTCCATTTATCCAAACTTTTAGACACTAATATAAGGCACTTTTAACTTCACTTTTAATTTTTAATTGACTGCCAGCCGTTTTTAATGATTTCACTGATTCTCAAGACCCACAGAAGACTGGATTGTCTACTTTGATCAGAAAAAATAAGTTTGTTTTTAGCTATTTTTACTGTCCTGTAACCCCCAGTCGAACAGAGGGTCTCAGAGAAATACGTCAATGGCAGTCAAGGAGTTAAATGCATTTGTTTTCCCTGTCTCAGTAGCATCTAGTTTACGTTACATGCCAGAGAAAACAGTGTAGAAATGGTTTGATCCGGTCGCACGAATGGACTGGACCTTTGTTAGCGGAACCGGGTTTTTATGCATCTTGCTCAATTGAATGAAATAGGACCAGTGCAGCATCACTACCAACCAAAGTGAAAAGTGTCTGTAACGACCACAGGTTTAGTCCCATGTTTGATGCTCCGTGTCTGTAACTGTAAACAGCAGCTCAGAGCCAGAAGCAAAGCACGAAAGAACCCATCTTTTATTTTGTGCCTGACATCCCTTCTTCCTCACTCTCTCCCCCCTCTCTGTCTCCTTGTCCAAAGTCTTCAGTCTTCTCCTTCCTGCAAGTGTCTTTCCTCTCTCTCTCTTTCTTTCCCTCTCTCTCCTTGTCCAAATAAAAGTCTTCAGCCTTCTCCTCCCTTTATTTCCTCTCCCTCTCGCTCTGTCCAAAGTCTTCAGCCATCTCCTTCCTGACAGTGTCTTCCCTCTCTCCCCCCTCCCTCTCTCTCTTTGTCCAAATAAAAGTCTTCAGCCTCCTTCCTTTCAATCCTCTATCCCTCTCTCTCTCTCTCTCTCTCTCTCTCTCTCTCACTCTGTCCAAAGTCTTCAGCCTTCTCCTTCCTGACAGTGGCTTGCCTCCCTCTCCCACTCTCCCTCTCTCTGTCTCCTTGTCCAAAGTCTTCAGCCATCTCTTTCCTGACATTCTCTCTCTCTCCCCCTCTGTCTGTTTGTCTCTCCCTCTCTCTCCCCCTCCTTCTCTCTCTCTCTCTCTCTCTCGCTCTCCATCTCCTTGTCCAAAGTCTTCAGCCTTCTCCTTCCTGACAGTGTCTTTCCTCTCACTCTCTCCCTCCCCCTCTCTCTCTCTCTCCTCTCCCCCTCTCCCTCTCCCTCCCCCCCTCCTCCTCCTCTCTCTCCCCACTTCCTGCCCTCGTCGCGTCAAAGCCGGTCTGTCCCGCGCACACTGTGGAGCCTCTGTTTTGGCGCTGGGGGAAAAACCATGAGAACCTTTTCCAACAACACAGTCTTGTGAATTCAGGACGGTGCAGAGACAGGGCCTTACTGGTTTTTATAGCGGCTGCTGAGAGGGCGGCGCGGTCAAAATGTCAAAACGCTGTGGCCTGAATAACATAATATTTCCCTGGATCAAGTAGCAGCAGAGACGGAAGCTGAATAATTGCTTGTAAAGTGTATTGGAGTGGCTTCAGCGCACTTATGTAATGTATAATTGGCCTCTCTGTGTTCTCTAGAGCACAGACACTTCATGATTATTGCAAAACAGACTTTAGTTTGTGACTCAAAGGCTCAATATCTATCACCTGAACATCGTTTTTACCTTCGTTCAAAATGGAGCTGAAACAATGTTATGAAAAGAGTCCACAAAATGTCTCCGTCGTGAGATCAATAAAGTTTACACTGTCCTTTCTTTATACAAATAAAGCTAGCAGACCTGTGTATTTAAATGTGCTACTTTTTGTGTGTGTTTGTATGCATGTGTGTCTCTCTGTGTGTGTTTCTCTCTGTGAGTGTGTGTCTGTATGCATGCGTTTGTGTATGTCTGTCTGTCTATGTGTGTGTGTCTGTCTCTGAGTGTGTCTGTATGCATGCGTTTGTGTGTGTCTGTCTGTCTATGTGTGTGTGTCTGTGTTTGTATGCATGTGTGTCTCTCTGTGTGTGGGTGTTTCTCTCTGTGAGTGTGTATCTGTCTCTCTGTCTATGTGTGTGTGTCTGTCTCTCTCTCTGTGGGTGTGTCTGTCTCTCTCTGTGTGTGTCTCTGTGTGTCTGTATGCATGCGTGTGTCCCTGCATGTGTGTCTGTCTCCGTCTATGTGTGCGTGTGTGTCTGCCTCTCTCTGTGTGTATATCTTGGTTTGTCTCTCTATGTGGGTGTGTCTCTATATGTGGGTGTGTCTCTCTCTGTGTGTGTGTGTTGTACCGACCTCCTAGTGTGACGTTGCCGTGGAGAAAGCGTCCCTGGTAAATGAGCCGCAGGATGTTGGGGCTGCTCACCTGCTCCTCCTCCCAGTCTGCAATAAACACCAAGAACCATCAGACACGAGAAGGTCAGAAAGTACAACTGACAAAACATTTATAGCTTTAAACCTTATTCCCTTCGGACTCTTTTCTCATCTCTCATAAAAAAACTAAAAATCCAAACAAACAAATAAACAAACAAACACATAAGAGATTCTGCTTTTGTTTCGGGTGCAATCACTCTCTCTCCAGCCAGAAAGTGGACTAATTCCGTTTAATTTCTGCAGATGTGAAAAACAAACGTGGTCACATGGAAGGCCCTGCAGGCTCAGCTCAGACCATCACGAACACCAGGAGCCCTGAGAAGGTTAGTGTAGCTATGTCCAATCCACCTGTGGATCTTTTTGGTAATTGTGTCTGGCTCTCAAATGTTAGTATGCATTTCTTCAGTATAAAACATTTCTTCAGCAAAAGTATACATTCATTACATCGCTAATATCTCACTATAAATGCTCAAAGTTCACACTCACACAAAGTAAGAAAGAATTATGTTTGGCTCCCACAGAAATGCAGGTTGAAGTAGGAGACGTTTTTGGCTCTCACAGCTAAAAACGATTCCCGACCTGTGATCTTGCGTATCTGACAAAACAAACAGTTTCCAAAAGTGCTGCCCAGAAACTAGAAGAAGATTCTAAAAAAAAAACAGTGTTTCTGTTGTAGATGAATATAAGATTTTTCACACTGCAGCCTCTTTGGGTTAGCAACACAGAGGACCATAGAACATGCCGGTGAGGACCATCGTTGGCTCGCAGGCCGGACTTTGGACACGCCTGTTATAGATTACCATATACATATAGTAGTCAAAGTTTTATTTAACTAGATAGATAGTGGTTATCCAAAGAGTCAGAATTTACAGTCTTAACCGACTTTGTGGTTCTTTTCTTCAATCAATCAATTCTCTTTATTTACAAAACTTCCAGTACAGTTAAAATAATAAGATTTTAAAAGAAACTAAAATTAAATAAACTGCGGAGCTATAATTGCACTTGGTTCAGAAGTATTTACAGATGTGTATATTGTACATTAGCAGCAGAGAATATGATCAGAATAAACAATAGTAACAATATCAGCAGTAAAGTGACTATAGTGAAAGGTTCAGAATTCGATATTATTACAAAAAACCACGAGTGTCATCATTCACATGTGGTTTTTGCAGAGACTGTTGGGAATGTGAGGAGGAGGCAGGGTTAGGTGTGGCTGGAAGAGTCTGGAAGAGTCTGGAAGAGGCTGTAAATGAGAGGGAGCCTGGAGTCCAGATGTGAGTGGAGTCAGTGGAGGGTGTTACTGCGCGTGACCCAGTTCAGCTGAGCACTGGACGCGAGCAAAGGTTAAACCTCCGAAAATATACAATGAAACATCAACTGAGAGCGACACGGCCACAGAGGGAACAGAAGGAGCAGAGGGTGAGGATATGTACAGCTGTCGTCTAGAGATTTTAGAACCACAATCGCTAAAACAAGAGAGTACAACGAGAAACCAGGAAGAAGATTATAAAATTATGCAAAAAAATATGAAGAGTCACTGTTGCCAAAAGCTGTACAAACACTTTTTCTATCTTAAATCCAACCAGGGCAGCAAAAGGAAGCTACACTTTATGTCCTTTTTTACAGAAGCAGAAACACACGGGAACATCAATGGCCGGAATAAAACTATGGAATCAACTCGAAATATGAAATAAAGGTTCTGCAAACTTCCACATGCTGAAGAATAAAATCAATGCGACAGAGAAATCATATGAAATCGGGGAGGGTGATGGCACATACTAGTTTCCTTGTTTTCGTCAGTGTGCCCCAGGGCAGCTGTGGCTACAGTAGTAGTTTATCACCACCGTGTATGGAGTGAAAGAATAATGACATGTGAAGTGTCTTTGAATGTCCAAAAAAGCGCTGTATATAACTGCATGGTTCATGGGGGTTGGATGAAAAAAAGATTCCATTCCATTTTCTTCCCCTTAATCCATTTCTGGGTCGGGGGTGGCAGTCAGAGCTGATCCCAGTACACTTAGCATCAGCCCCTCAATGACCCTCCTGCAGGTGGTAAGTCCACAGAATCTTTGATCTTTCAGCGGGGGCTTCAGGCAAAGTGGGGTTAAGTGTCTTGCCCAAGGACACAATGACAGCAGTCATCAGTGGGAGAAAAAAAGATTCAATTATAATACATCAAATAAGAAAATGAATTTCTGCTAGAATTTCTCTGAAAACCTTGATAGAGAAGAAGCCTGTCTCACTTTGTGCAGCTTTGGCTTGAAAAATAAATAAATTGTGTTCCAATCAACTTTTGAGTTCAGTTATATTAAATTCAATTCAACTTTATTACAGACTCTAGGTCCAATTAAAAACATACATACAGACAAACGAAAACAACAAACATACAGTTAGTATGACTTTAAAAGACAGTCGTACCAGTGTCTCCCATTTGTTTTTGTATCTGCTTCACTCACAACAGCAGCGTCTCAAAGTCATCAATGTGACACTTTGAGGGTGGTCTTCTCTTTCTCACTTATCTGCCTGAAAAAACCAAACCGTTTTGGGAGCGATACATTATTTAGATGGATTGCATTACATCCTTTTGTGTTCTGCGGTGTGAAAGTAAAGTAGCCCAGCTTTAACAGGAGGAGGCTTCACTCTGGTCCCAATGGTTTGAAAGTCTTAGTGGTAATACGATGATGTAGTTGTTTGTGCGGAGGTTTGAAGGTGTGGCTCTGAGGTCAGGGCTGGATCAGACTTCGGGGAGTGGGAGCGGAGAGTGGACGGCGGCCGTACATTCCTCCGCAGTGATAATCGGAGCGACTAATTACCCAAAGACCTTCCCACAATGCACTGCAGCGTCCTATGAAAGTCATTAGCAGAGAGCAGAATGTGATCTGTGGACCGACAACACGGCGAGCGAGTTCTCAAAGGATTTTGTTTGAGAGAAAATCGTTTTTGTAACGTATAGAATGGGGATTTCAGCTCTGAGGTCATACACCATTTAAGCTTCTTATAGGAGACTTTACATAAAAAATTCGACTTTTCACAGATCTTGACCGTGTTTAATTGTTTTCCCTCATCGTCACACACTCAGAGCAGTTTTTAGACTGAGTTTTAGCGCATGTTTGAGCATAGGATTCTCTCTTTTATAACATTGTTTTAGCTCGATATAGAGATTTCATACAGAATAAATATTTAATTTCATAGCAGACAGTACATCAGTCAGCCCATCTGTAATATCCCTGTTGTGGGACTAATTAAAGTATCATTAACGGTCTGGCTTCAGGCCGTTGGTTTGAAAAAATCAGCTAATTCTTGTTGTCAGTCAAGATTCAAGATTCAAGAATTTATTTGCAGTTGGGAATAAAACCACATTAGAAAAACTATGAAAGACTATACAAGGGTGCACCAGACAGAGAAAATGGTACACACCAGAGCATAATAAAGAAGGAAAAAACATGTATAAGTTGCAATAGAGCAGGGTTTTTTTTTACTGTGTTACAGCAAAGAGCCACATCATACAAATATGCACTACATAAACATCACCCCAACCCTTACACACGCACGCACACTGCTCAGACAGATTTTTTGTAAATGTCATTAACATGATAATGACAGAAATTGACTCCTACAGTACTAAAGGGCTGGACTCTACTCTCCCCGGTTTGCGGACGCTTCCACCGCTCGCTTTAGCCGCTCCCCGGTACTTTTTATTAATGGTTCGGCCTTGGTTCTAAGTCCGAAAGCAGTATTTAGGAGAAACACAACTGTCTTTATCGGACCATGATTCTCACTCTGACTGCATTTAGCAAAAGATATAGATTTGACACATAACACCAACACCACTTTAGCTGATTCAGAACCACAGACACATGTTCAGTCTAAGACCAGATACTTTTGCATTTGATTGAAGACAGACACTCACCAGGCTTATCTCCTGGTGTAGCTGGTGCTAGCTGGTTTTAGCATGTTAGCCGGTGTTAGCCGATGTCCGTAAATTTAATCCATTTGGTCAAACCACCTCCAGACTTTTCAGTTCTGCCTCTACTTCTGCTGCTGTGATCTTTCATTTCACGGTTGTCAGCTTTTTTACTTTTCTCTGCATTGTCATGTTCGTGGGAATCATTCTGCTCCGTCCTTAGCGCTAGCTCCACAAACACCTTCTGGTTTCTGGTGGAACCATCAAGCTCACGCTGGTGTCCTCTCCTCAAACTGAGGAAGGTGTTGCCCTCATCCAGCGACCAAGGAATTGTTTTCCGTACGGACGTCATGGGTCGAGGCAACATGTTGTTTGTTATGATATTTGCAACAGCTGAAGCAGCAGCTGCAGAGTGATTGACAGCGCACCTGACCAATCAGAATTGACGTTCGCCGACGTCAGATTGTTTTGGCGGCCCGGCTAGTGGAGTGAAGTCGGCCTTTACTATGGGTCAGAACTACATGGAGAATAAATGGCAGCACCACCACCGAGGCGTTTTTGACGCTTGTCGAGTGAAAGCCCGAGAGCCGCACGGAACCAGCCAAAGAGCCGCATGCGGCTCACGAGCCGCGGGTTGGCCACCTTTTCTACAGCGTGTGGGTTTTGATGACAAAAATACATCTGTAAACACATGGATCGCTCTTCTTAATAGCTTAATCGCTCAATTTAAAAATATGATTTAAAACAAAAAACATTATAATTTCAAACATTAATCGCTCCAGAGTAAAAGTTGCACCCCAGGCCAAACTTTGACAATAACTGAGACTAATAATCTGAAAAATACGGTATTTATTTAGTTGGTCAACAGCGTCTACCAAAGTTGGCTGAATGACCGTTGTTTACAAGCAAGTACAGGGGTAAAACCGGTTCCAGAAAGGGCCGGCGTCAAGGCCCCATCTTGGCTGCCCTCTTGTGGCCATGTATATGTTTGTTGTTCTCTGCAGGTGTCGCTGGGGAGTGGCATTGGCTGTGTGTGCATAGGTCCGACGCACATAAAAGACCCGCCTCCAGCCATGGGCTCCGGCTGGCTCACTTCACTCCCAGC